ACATTTTACATTCAACGATTCAATGTTTATCCAGTGTTCACTTATTGAAACTTTACTGTGCAACAATGAGAAGAAAGTGGATCCTGAAAAAAAACTACAAGAAATGCTCAAATATTCACAGTGAACTTGCACTTGGATCCATTTGATTGGATCAATAATAATATTGTGAGATGTTATTTCAATGCATTACCATTTTGTGACCATTTCAAGTCCCTTAAATCATTGATAACATCCTTGGGAGTCTAAAATTTGTTCAATCCATTTTATCCCTTATAAGGTGCAAAGAAGAAAAAAAAAGATATGATAAAAAGTATTTCTTGCCAATGAATTATTGATGAGAAACTCACAAATTGTATCTCATCTTACCTTTTTTTTTACTTCTCATCCTTTTTTCATCTTCTTCTCAACTTTAAATTTCAATATTACATCTTTTTTTCAGTTGCAAAGTTACCAGAGTTTAACCAGAAATCAACACTCAACTGCTCATGAACCTTTATTGGTAATGTTTGCCTTCTTTCCTCAAATTGATTTAATAATGGACATTGGATAATCACAAATCTCATTGAGACGTGATCCAACCAAATTGGAGACCATTTTTGACCATTTTTAAGCTCACTTGCATCCAGTTGCCAATTCACTTCAATTTTTGTAAAATAAATCTTGAAATAATTTTATTCACATTAACCTTTGCTTCGATTAGTCGACTTTCGAGTTTCTTGCACTTTTCAATTTCCAGTGTAAATCTTGTTCCAGAAAAATGCTTAAAACTTGTTTTGTCCTTTCATCTACTTTGGGCATTGAAAGACATTTGGACTGGGATTTATCTCCATCTATTGGAAAGACGAGAAGATTTTGAAAAAATGAAGATTAACTTTTGAGTTTCATTTCACGAATGACCGAAATTATCTGAAAGAATCTTGAAGGATGACTGGGAGTGATGATTACAGATTGAACTGAATTTTGGTGCAAAATTGACATTCCCTTCTCTATCATTTTCTTACCTTTCGCCATCATTTCACTTTCAATAATTTTACCAACTTTTATCAAGATAATGATGATGACAATGATAAAGGTAAAAACCTACCGGAAGGAAACATAATAACCAAGAACCGGAAATTTTAATCAGTAAAATATTATCCCAAGCTTACATTATTTTTTTCCCTTTTCGTTGTTTTGCTTTTTTCAAGCTCAACTCTTCTCTCACTCACATGATGATCGGTATCAGTGATGATCATCTTGTACAAAAGTCGTCAACAAATGTTAAGCTTCCATCATGTTGAACCAGAAAAAAGGCTCTTGAAGAAGCAAATGATAAATCTCAATCTTAATCCTGAATCATCAAAAATTGGTTGACTTGAGACAAGGAGAAAATAATGAAACTCTGATTACAAACGATGAGCAAAAAGTAATTTCAATTATCGCAACATTTTCGTGACTAAATGTCTTTCGTTTTTCATTTTTCCCTGTCTTTATCTCAATCATTGAGAGTGAAAAATTTTTTTTGTATAACCAAGCAAAAAGAAGAAGAGAGTAGAAGAAGAAAATGAAAAATTCTGCTTTTCTATCGATTAATGAGTCAAAGGGAAAGTAATTTTTCTTAAACAGTGTCAATCAGTTAAACTTGGAATCAATTTTTTTCGTTGTTGCTGTTTCCCTTTCAAAATTGTCTAATCAATTAGAATCATTGTTGAAGCTTGTTTGTTGTTTGATTGGAACAGAAAAGAGGATCAAAAATAATTAGGTTAAATGGATCCTCATTTCACTTTGTTATCTGTTATTGAATCACTATTTTGCTTTTGAAAATAAATGACAAACTCATTGATTGAAATTTACTATTAAATTGAGAATCGATAACTTTATTCTTGAAAGTAATGATAATAATAAAGTTAATCCAATAAACATAATCCAGAGAAAGGAAGAAGAAGGAAGAAAAGTAAAGAATTTGTTGGCTTCTTTCCATCAGAATTTTGCATCTTTTTTCGCCATTTTATTGATGCACTTTTCCATGCTCTTCCATGCTCTGTTATTGTCTGTGTTTTTTTTGCCCAAAACTTGATAACTTTGCTTCTTCCAAGAGAAGAATGTAAAAGGAAAAATATTTCTTCATCATTATTTGGATTGTAATAATATAAGGAATGAGTTGAATAAAATTTTTGGATGTTTAACAGGGAATAAAGTGAATAGCATTGAATGAGGGTAAAAATAATGTAATATAATAAATGAGGAACCAGAATAATGGTGGAATCTGATTCCTTGAAATTTTTCACTCCCAGTCAATTGTTATAAATCTGTTAATCGATATATTGACATAATAATGAAACTTGGAATGGGTCAATGATGGTGACTGATGATCATGATGGCAGTTGCCTGAAACAGGCAACAAGAGAGAAATGTCTAGAAGAAGAAGAGAAAAAAAGAAAAGAAAATTACATGCAATGATGAGGATGATGGTAATGATGAACATCAAGATGAAAATGGTTAAGAAATTTGCTCACATGAAAATGGCTGCAAGGGAATTCATTCGTTGAATTATGCCTTCAAATGTTTAATAATGTTGAGAGAATGGGAAAAATGTCAAAATTTAAATGCTCTTCATGTTCATTAAGTAAGTCACAATTAATTTCAAACTTCAACTCTTTTCACAATTTTGTTTTTCTTTCTGTAAAATGACTTTAAAGAGAAATACATTTTTCATCGTAAAAATATCGAAAAATCTTCTGTTCCATGAACATTCAAGAAAAGACTAAAGTTTAGTGACACTAATTGAAAGCATTGATTTTCATCGATTCAGTTTCGAGCAATGAATCCAACAATGAAAGTGAATCCAGTAAACAAAGTCATTCCCAGTGAATCTAAAAGCGATCGCAAGTTCAGTTTTTTTCTCAATTCTGTTATTCGACTATTTCATCAAGTGGCTTGGTTCGTATGAATGCTTGAGCTAAGTTAGTGGCAACATTTCATTAGATAAAAAAGTATTGATGAAACACCGAAAATGCGGTTTTGAATTGCGATTAGCATCAAGATTGGATTCTTCATTTTGTGGTTTCTGTCTTTTGAATTTCGTCTTTTCTCAAATGTTTCAATTGTTGTCTTTGCTTTCCTTTTCATGTTTTTCACTGAATTTACGATTGAATGCAAAAAGCAAATGATCAGGTTCCATTAATGATCTACCTTTTCCTTGAGTAAACTTGAAATTTTGCCTTGAGATGAATTTTGAGGATGAAAATGATGAGGTAACTTTCAAGTGGCAACTCGTAAGGAAGGAAATTTGGCAACTCTTTCTCCATTCATCATACACAAAAAGTAAGTCGCAATCAATAACGAATTACAGGCAATTTCACTGACCAAACCAGGATAATTTTTCAACTGGCCACACAATATTGTAAAAGGTGAAGGAATTTATCTCTTCTTATTCCTTCCTTTTTCTTCATCCTCATCTTCATCATCTTTATCTTTTCCTCTCTTTTTTTTCCTCCTCTTCTCCCACTTTTCTCTGGCTTTTATTGATTATAAGATTTGCGAGACATTGAGACTGAATAAGGAAAGTTACAGGAAATGCTAACTACATAAAAAGCCAGGGGAATGATGAAAAATTGGAAATAACTGGGAGGGAATCTGCTAGAGATAGTAAAGGTCAGAGGAAAGAACTGAATAAGCAAAGGAAAATGTAGATTCTATTCATCTTTTTTTCTCACTGAATTCTTCAAGGCGTTTCCTTGTTGCTCATTTTTTTTCTCCTCAATATTTTGTACCAAATTCTCATTCTCCTTGTACTTGGAATCTTTCCTTTTCCCCCTTTTTTCAGGGATTCTTGCAGTTCTTTTTGCTTCTTCTTCTTGTTCTTGTTCTTCAGTTCTCATTCAACCTCATTATCAGTATGATAACAATGAAAGTTGAAGTGATGATGATGAGAAGGATGAAGAAGGGAGAAGAAAATTTTTGAAGGCAAAACGGTTCATTAATCATAATTGTTTCTTAAGGGCGATTGAACGTCACTCCATTCCTCGTGTATCAACAGCCAAATTCTGGTTCAGTTGTTTGAAAGGAGAGAGAGAGAAAAATATAAATTAAATTATGATAACATGATATTCATTGGATAACAGGGAAGGAGAAGAAGAAAGGAAAAGGATGAAGAATGAGAAAAATAGTGAAAACAGAATAGATAATAGCTGCTAATGATGATAATTTGAAACTGGGATGGGCAATGAATCTCGAGAGATTCCTTCTAATTAACCTGTAATTGATTCAAATGAAAGTTTCACGGCGATCATTCAATGCATGATAATCGATTTGAAAGGGTCAAGGTGATCATCAAGCGAAGGAAAAGGTAAAAAAACACACTTTTGGTGAGCAAAGAGATACTTCATAATGAATGGTCAGAACGTTGATTATGATTAATTTTGCCTGTAATTGAAGTGAAGCAAAATGAAGGTTTTGTTTGTTCAAAGATTAATCAAGTGCTCAAATGGTTGGCACATTTTTGTACTTTTGCCTTTTCTTTTGTTTTTCCCATTTTTTGTTCGACTCTTTAAACAGTCAATTTTGAATGAAACATTTTCCTTGAAAAGGTATTTCATGGTATAAAGTAAATTTACAATTTGATATTGATCCATCGATAACTTGCAATTGTTAAGGTTTGTTCAGATAAAAAAAAAGCTAAACAACTCCAACTTGATCCAATATTTTATCTTGAGGGAAACTATTGCCAGTTTCAAGCCAACAGCCAAGTTCAAATATTTGGGATTTTCACTTCAGTGTTTTAATAAGACAATTTTATCGAGACTTTGTAATATTTCAAAAGTATAACACATTTGAAACAATTTTAAAGAATCATCGATTGAACAGGAAAAAAAGGTTCAACTGACTGTTGGTAGATTTAATACAAAGTAAACTTGCACATTGAAATTTTGGGTAAAATTGATTGAAAAGAGTTTGATTAAGATAATTAAAATACGCGCTGTAAACCCGGTTCACATGGAAACCATTTAACACTTTGTTTCCTTGCATCTTAACTTCCTTATTTTAAAAGACATCAATGCGTTTAATGATTCAATGCTTGAGATTAACCCGATTTTTTATCTTTTAATTCTGTTCTTATTCTGGTTTATGGCATTTCTCGAATTCCCTGCCAAATATTCGCCCAAACCAACCTACCAACCTTTTCAACATGATGTGAGTGTAAAATCTTTTTTGGTAACAACCATTGACTCGTTTTGGGCTGATTCAACCCTGCCAGCTTCCTCAAAGTGGATCGTGACACAACTAAGCGACGATATTGACCATAAAAGATTTTGCTTGAAACAATCATTTTAACCTTTAACTTCTCAAAGGTTGATTTTCATTTTTAAATTCATTATTCTTCAAAATGATTCTTAATCTGAAAAGCTTAAAAAGGTTGGTAAATTGGGTTCACTAATTTTTAACCCAAAATTTCTCGTTGTCTCAGAATAAGACATTTCTCAACTATCCATTGGTTATTGATGCACCGTTTTTAACCTTTTATTTCAACTCCATCATTCCCCTCGACTAATCCAACGGAATTGTCATCAATAAAGATAAACGACAAATAGGATACGGAATACAAGTCTTATCGAAAGTGTGCATTTGAAATGGAAAAAAGGGAAAATTTGCTTTTCTACTCCAACATCTTTACCTTTTTCAACAAATAACCATTTAATATGACCATTAATCAATGTACAGAAATTGTCAAAATGATAATATCTGAAAATACTTGAAAAGCAACTGGAAGGAAAATGTGAAAACTCTCAATGGCAAATAGCACTTCACAAAGCTTATATTGAACATTTGCTTGTGAAACATTGTAGACTATTATTAAATGCTTGTAAAGTATTAGAAGATGAAGAAAAAGAAGAAGAAAGAAGTTCATGAAATGTAAAAGTATTAAGTGAAAGAAGATGATTTTATAAACGATAAATGACCAGCAATTTGATACCATCATAATGATCATCATGAATAATCAATTTTTTGAAATTCAATAATGATATGATATTGAAGAGGCAAAGAAGACTGAAAGGAAAGAAGAAGAAACTTGTTCCCAGTGTTCACATTGAACTGATCATGATGATAATCAGACATCATCATTTTTCATATTTCCAGCCTCTTCAAGCTGAATTGAAGATCATAAATGTACAACTTGAATCAACTTGATTCAAATATATGTTGACACAATGAAAATGTTATCAAACCTGTCATACAAATGTGATAATATTAAGTTAACAAAGCTTGAATATGCATGTTGACAACAAGTAAAACTCATCATTAATTCATTTTGATTTTCACTTCTTTCCATTTTCAATTTCACATTCAGTTTCAACTGATTGACTAATTTTTACAGCAAAATATTCAGAGTAAAATTTAACTTGAAATTGAGTGAAATTCAAAAAGTCAACTTTATTGATTTGAGAGTTGGAAATGGATTGAGAGCAAAATATTAATCATTTCACTCATTTTAAATCAACATAAAGAGTGAAAAAATGGTCAACATTAATCATTTCATTTCCAACTGTCCAGCTTTAATTGAATTGTATCAATAATTTATTTTTGTTTTTTAACCCTTTTCTTTCTCTCTTTTCCGTTAATCATTTCTGGATAATTAATTAAACCACAATCGTAAACAATAGTAATGATTATAATAAATGATTAAATGAACACAATGATAATCATTAATCAATTTAATGGTTTACCATTTTGATGGGTCAACAGTGATAAAATGTTTCTGTTTGGCCAAACTTTTAAACTTGACCTGTTTTCCCTCTTAACCGGTAAACAGTTGATTCAATGGGCAACGCAATTATCATGGTCGTTGCGATGAAGACAAAAATTGAAATTTGATTTACAAATGAATGTAAAACTAACGAAAACTGTTGACAAAATTGTAACACTTTGATCTGCATTTTGATATGCCAGTGAAAAGAGTCACATTGAATCCTATTTGTTTATTTATTTATGTTTAGATATTTATTTTTCTGGTTTCATCTCTTGTAATAATATCTGTTGGATATAAAAAAAACGAGTAAAAGGGGAAAATGGCGACCAAATTTCATCATTTTGATGGATTCACTTGAAGCTTAAAGGCAGTGGAAGACGATGAGAGAAAGATAGAAGATAAAAGATGAGAGAAAGATGATGAAAAGTCTGAGGAAACAGAATGATGATGATGCATCCTTTTGGGTTAAACCTTATTAGCTGTTTCAGTTATTCTGTAAGTTCTGTGATAATCTAAGCAACAGATCGATTTTCCATCTCTTCTTGCACTCTTTTACTCATAACTTACTGAATCAACTTTTCTCTCTCTTTTCCTCTTTTCCTCTTCTCTTCTCTCATCATTTTCTTCATCTTATCATCCTCAAAGCCTGACAGGATTTATGCTTTCACACGAAACTGACTGATTTCAACTTGTCCTATTCTTCTTTTTCCTCTTTTATCTTTTATTCCTCTCATTTTCCCTGATGACCTTTCTTTTCATTCCCTGTTATCTACTGAATATAATGCTCACTCCCAGTCAGTTCTGGTACCTTTAAGTTCTGGTAAATAAAGATGAACCAGAAAGAAGAGTTTTCCAGGAGTAAAACAGTAGAAAGAAGAAGAAAGGAAAAAAAGCAAACTTGAAATAAAATAAAAATCAAAAGAAAAACGTTGAACAAATGATAAACAGAATTGCTTTCAGTCGACATTTTTCCCTTTCTCTTCTTCTTCTTCTTTTGCGTTATTCATTTTCACATTAAATCATTTTCACTTGAAATGATCCAACTGAACTAGCCTTTTTCCTCATGAAAAACGCTCAATATTGTTATAAAAACTCAATTCATTTCGTTTCTTCTTCTTCTTTCCCTTTCCCACCTCAACATTTGATTCAATTCATTAATTGAAGGCAAAAATGTTTACCAAAAGATGAAAGATAAAAGTGAAAACAAAGTTTCATTTTGTAATACTTTTATACTTTCATTACACATTGAAATGTTCATTGTAATACTAATCAATTGGTTCTCTTGGAACCACGTAATTGATTGAATCACGATTCAATGATAACATTATCGATTGGCAAGGTTAGTTCAAGTTTGGTGATCAATTAAATTTACAAATTTATCCTTAAAATGTAACAATTATGAAAAGAGAAAAAAAGTTTTCACCATCGATCTGCAAAAGGAAACATTAAAGGTAAACGAAAAGACGATGAAAATGTTCATTTTTACACAAAATTACCAATAATTGTTACAATTGTGTGAACAAGTAGAAATGAAGAGAAACAAAAAAACAATTGATGTTTTAATGTTGATAATAATGATTAGGGAAACTAAATGAAAGGTTTGATAACACGCAATCAATTGTTACCAATGAATGTGAGAAAGCAAAGCTAAAATGGTTCCTCAACTTGAATCAACAAAATATTGTTATGCCAAGAAGTAGAAGAAGAAGAAGGAAAAGAAGAAGAAAATGTTGCTTTCTTTTTACCTCTTCAAATATCTCATGAGACTTCAAGTCTCACACAGTGAGTTTACCTGAGTCAACATGATACTCTTTTCTGATGTAATAATGATAATCATGTATATTAACTGTTTTCAAAACCAGATCACTCAAGAGTTTCTATGAACATTATCTTGTTGCTTGTTCCTTTTTACAGGTTATTTCTGTTGTTGATCATCATCATCATCATTTTGATCACATTAGGTTATATATTTGATTTTTGTTTTCCTGTTAACTTCAACTTATTGTTTCAATGAAACTTTCTTCTTACCTTTTTAGAGTGAACAGGTAAACAGTTAATGTGACACTTGAGATTGACAGGGAAAGAGCAACTGAACAGCTATGTTAATCTGATTATTCTGTTCAATTTATTCATCATCATTATCGTCATTGGTTAAAGTTTAGTTGAGACAAAAAGGCAACATTTTCAAAAAGTTCAATGTGAACAAAGATGAAAATCAATCTTTGTTCAACTTGACTAAGCTTGAATCGACAAAATGGCAAAACTTGAAATGTTGAAAATTTTGTCATTGGAATGGTCTTGAGTTTTTGCTTCCAACAAATGTAAAGAAAATTGTTTTCTTTTACCTCAAAATTGGATGCAAAATTTTACCCATTTTTCTGTCCAACATTGAGAATTGAATTTGAAATTTTTGTAAATTTCATCAATACTTGAACTTTGATAAATGGCATTTGTTTGACATAAAAATGAACTTTTTTTCTTCTCTCCAATTCCAATCTGCTTCTCAACAAGCTTACACTCTTGTCATGCAACAACATGAATGTTTCTACTCATGAAACTGCATTTGATTGGAAAAGTAAAGAAAAAAAATGAATCAAATTTTTCCCTTTTTTTAGGAGCAAAAAATTGAAATTGTTGTTGCAACCAGAGATGCGTAAAATTAGCATGATATTTGTCAATCATTGTCAAGACGATTGCTACGAAAGGAATGATAAATTGAAATTTGTAGTGACTTTTGATTTCCAATTGAATCCATGAGATGTGAGATTGGAATCCATGATTAGAAGAAATTTCTTCATTTTAATCCAAACTAATAAACTGGTCAACATTGAGCTTTGTCATTAGTTGAACAAGATGGAGAGTAAATATTGATAAGCTGTGAGTATTGGAAAGGATAAGTTGAATACGTGGCTATGAGTGAAAATTGTAAGATGAAAATTGAATGATTCGGGTTCTGGATGAGATGGAGGATGATGAAGAAAGGCAAATGATGGCGAAAAGTGAGTAAAGTAGTTTTACTGTTTTCTTGTAGTTTGCTGCCTAATGTTAAAAGGGAAAAATGTGCTTCATATTATTGCTATTCATCCCAGTTTATGCCATCTCTAATTGCCTCATTAACTGTTAACCCTTGAGGATGATGTAAAAAAAGGATGGGGAAAATAATGTGTAAGTGTTTACTTTACCTAAACATGAATTAGCTTCACAAATCATCTTAAAGCTTCTCTTATCTTCATCTTTCCTTCTTCCAACTCTTTTTGTTTGTTACGAGTTTTTCCATGTAACGATATTAAACTTCTAACAGTTCAATAAGTGTAATAATATGTGCAAGAATAGATCATCATTATCATTAGACAGTTTACATTCCCTGTTAGTAGAAATTTGAAAATTTTAAACCTTCTATTTTTATCTATTTTTGTGGCAAAAATGATTATTTCAAAGTTTAAACTATTTAAAATGAACATGAAAGTGATTTCACATTATTTTATGGTTTCTTTTGATTTACCTTTTCATTTGAATTTTTTGCCAGAAAAAGAAATGAAAAGCTCAGATCATGATTTGGCTTTAATTTCATCTTTGATTATAAACTTACAAGTTTGGAAGTTTTGTCTTCTGATGACTCGAGTAGCTTCATGTGCACAATGATGAATCTAAAGTAAGGTTTAATGTCATGGCTTTAAGTTTATTGTGAGAATTGAGTCGAGAACGATTTCAACTAAACTTGGATTGTCATTGAACTTTTTCGCATTACTTCAAGTTAATCTGCTTTTACCCTGACAAATGATGAAGGTTGAAATCAAAACTCTCTTTCCATTTGCAAGTAAGAAAAAAAGATTGGTAAAAGATGATTCTGGAAGAATCGTAATTATTCAAAGATAATTGAAATAATAAATTTGTTCGTTTGAAGAGGAAAAGAAGAAAAGAATCTCTTTTTTGGTGAAAAATTTTCATTTGTTTCAAGTTGAATGATGGTGAGTGACTCAGTTGGAAAGCAAGTGAAAAATGAATAATGATGAGAGTAAGAAAAATGAAATTTTGCAAAGTTAATTTACCATATAATTTAACAATCATTAAAAATATGATGCAAAAGGCAACAACAACAATAAATATATTTACATTTATACATTTGTTCATTTAACTGGAGAGAGATGAAGAAGAAAGTTTTTTGATAAAAGCTGCCATTATGAGTGTTGAGTGAGAAACAAGAAAATGTTTCATTCAATTTGTTTTGTCAACCAACACACACCAAAGCTAATATTTTATTATTAATAATTTTTCTCTTCCATCATCATCCAGATGAACATTATCATTGGACGAATGAATAGCATTCCCGAATCTCTGAAACTCTCATTGAAACATATTTACAATATTTATTTCAATGAACAAAAAATGTTAATACCATTCAACTCTGTTTCTCATTTTCAAGTTTCAATCCTTTCATCATTAATTTACAATTTTGCCCTCAATTTGCCTCCAAATGAAAACCATTTTTCCACTCAATAACGATAAATAAACTGATCAGTTCTTATCCAGGTTTTCAGCTTTAATTAATGTTCCAGTGACAGTTGCATCAATAGATTTCATTGAAATATTGATTGTTATTAATATATTAAAGAGTGTAAAAGCGTTTCATCAAATTTAATAATTTAACAGTTGAAAGGCATTAAAGTTATCGGAAAAAGATTGTTTTACTTTTTCTAAAAGCTCAACGTTATTGAGCTGAGTTTCATTTTCTCAGATAATATTCAAACATCTTGTCAACTGTAAATTATTATTAATGAAATGGCAAAGATACATTTTAAGTTTTGCTCATAAATTGGAAAACAAAATGAGAGCAATTTATTTGGATTATAATGTTGATGCAGTTTTGAGTTTATCAGCTTTTCACAGGGAGTTTAACTCCCAGTCTTTTTTCCTGTTTGACTATCGATTGGAGTTAATTGTCAATTGTCGAGTTTTACAATTAGAGATGAGATTGAATTGAAATTTGTAAATAAGAGTGGAAAAGGTGGAGAAGGAAAAATTTAAAGGTAAATTGTTACAGAGCTAATCAATTATTGATTGAATGGAAAAGGTAAAATTTAAATGTGAATAGAGTTTAGGATTGGATGGAAAGGTTAACAAAATTAGATGAACTTGAATGGTGTTTATTGGATAAAAGTTGATAGGTGATTGGAATTGACTTTGATGAATTGAAACATCATTGTAATTGAACATTAGATAACATTAACCTTAAAATGAAGTTGAAAAAAGGAGCCAAGAAACAAAAGCATTTCCAGATGAAAATTGCAACCCAAACAAATGAAGGTAAAAACAAGTTTCAAGCGAAAAATGAAATTATCATTTTCCAAGTTTACACTTTTTACCTGTTTTTTCAAACATGCATTTTTATTCAGATTAATACATAACATATAGAATTTCAATTTTCTTGTTTTCATTTTTCTTTTTTCCTTTCACTTTTACCTTTTTTACCTCATTTCTTCCTCTTTTGCTTTCATCATTTTTTTGTACATTTTTGTTTTTCTTTGGCATTTTAATATCGAGTCTCTCTCTTTATATAGTTTCATACCTTAGTTATTGAAGTTATTGAGTTTGGTTTCAGCTTTTTTTACTTTTCACTTTTTCACCAAATTTTCATGATCAACTGTTTTGGTAAAAGTGTAACGTTGTTATCCTTGAAATGGTTGAACTTGCGTATTCACAATGGTTAGTAATTCAAATCAATAGTGAACCAGAAACTGTTTTTTTTGGTTGCTGTTATTTTACCTCTTCAATTGAATCATTTTGCTTCAATTTTCTGCATTTTCTTACTTTTGGGAAACAACAAGTGAAGAAAAGTTTATCAACACTGATTGAGTAATTGATTTAGATGATGATTCTGATGGTGATTTGGATTATGATTCAGGTGGTGCTTCAAGATGTGTGTGTGTGTGTCTATGTGTTGTGTCACTGATAATGATAATTGTCTGATGAAACCTTTTTACTTGACAGAGTTAAACATTAGATACAAAAAAAGAGGAGATTAAATGAGCGACCCAATTTTGTTACAACTCGTCAAGTATCAACCTAAATGGCAATCAATAAAAGGTAAGATGATGGTGATGATGATTAGTTTATTTTTGTATTTTTTGCCTCTTCTTTGCATGATAATGTTATCTGTGTTGATGAATATGAAGGAAGGAAGACGAAAGGAATATGAATGGGCTTTACAAGAGGAAAAGTGATGATGAAGGTTCTTTCATTATTGTAATGAGACTTTTTGCTGCAGATGAAAGTGGATTTGGTTGAGAACAAAAAAAAAGAGTTCAAATACAAATATGGATTAATGCACACAAAAGGACCAGATTGTGATGATTTCAAGTCTTTTTTGGGTTCACTTACAATTTCTGTTGTTGCATATGAAACGGAATGTTGAATGTCGCAAGATATTTCATCAAATGGCTGGCCAATGTCCATTTCTTGCTGTTGAATCTAAAAAATGGATTCACTAAAATTGAAAAGAGTTTTGTGTTAACATTGAAAAATAGTTTTCAAAATTCAGGCGAATCAGGAAAATGTTTTTAATCATTTTTTCGCTATTAAATTGAGAGTTAATTGAAGTTGAAAACTAATTAATCTTTTCTTTTTTTCAGTAAATTTGAAAATTACATTGGATTATACACTTATGGCCATCATCTACATCTGTATCATCTTTATTAACTTAATTGCCTTCAATCGCCTCTTCAACCTTTATTCATTAAATTCATTGGTTAGGGTTGGTAAGGGTTTGCACGAAAGTTATTTAAATAATTGGTTTTTCTAGTTTTTGGGTAAAATTGTCGGTCTTCTCGTTCTGAGGAAAATTTAAAGTGAAAGTTGAATTAAAGTATCAGATTTTTAAAATCCATTTCCTTGATTGAAACTCAAACAGCCTCACAGTGTCAGTGTTAATTCAAATTGACTAGAAGGGCCCATTGAGAATACGAGAAGGAAAGGAAAATTATCGGCATCTTTTTGTTTCTCAAACCAGAAATCTGGTATTTGGTTAATCTGGAAACAATTTTGAGCAAAGAGTCGCTGGAACTTTAGTTGACCTGCAGTGGATTTAGATTTACTATTTGAGATCTTTAAACCGATTTGTTTTCAAAATTTTCTACCGATTCTTCAATGGAGCGCCTTTGCTGACCAGCATGAGATGAAGTTAATCTCTCGAAAACCCAAATCAAAGGATACTTTTGTCAACCTTTACAGAGATTTCAAATTTAATTTCAATAATTTAACGAAGTCAATGAATTCGCTTGGATGCTGCCCAGGCAAGTTATAGCAAAATATCTCAAAATCTTGTCTTAAAATTGTACCAAATGGATGATTGAGATTCGGGCAAAATTTCATTCTTTCTGTTTAATCAGCATCTGATTTTTTCGTATTTTACTTCAATTTCAATTGTGGTCTCAACTCAAATATCTGGTTAGAGGCACATTTCTAGTTGGGTTAAGAGTGAACTTGTTGGTTGAAGGTACAATTTAGATCGTATACAAGGATGGATCTTCCAAGTTGTTTATTAAGATGAAGTAGCTGTGCCATTAATCACTATTGTAATCATTACAATTGTCTTGTTTCTTGTAACAATAATAATGCAAAATAACCCGATGATGACTGTTACCAGAAGCAGCTAAATCCTCCTTTTTTTGTTTTACATTGGCAGATGCAACTTTATAAGGATCAAATCAAGTTTAGTGAAAACATTAATCACCGTTGAGAGTGAATACAGTTGATTTAGATGTTAACAAGCTTCTAGTCACAATCATGTAAAATAATCCAATGATCATTTGGTGAACTTTCAATGAGATTGGGATTGAAAGGACATTCAGTTTGTATCTGTAATCAAAAAATTGTTCCTTGTTTTTTTTGGGTGGAAATGAAAATGGATAAAAGTAAAGCAAGATTAAAGATTTATATTTACTTTGGATAATCTTTAACCTTAAACCTTAATTGAGTTTACTTTTGGCTACTTCACAATCTGAAACTTTGCTGAGTCAACAATGATCATTAATTATTCTGTATCAACATTGAATAAATCCATATTTAATATCATTTTGATTGTTATAGATGGATGCTGTTTACTTTGACTTGGTTTACTTAACCATTTTGTTTTTGTTTTTCATTTCATTTCATCGTTACTCTCTCAGTAGTTTTTACCCTTTTTTGATACACTTATCTTGATTCCCATTCTTTACCATTCTGATGTCTCTGTTTTTCTTCATCTTCTTCTCCTTTTATCTTTCTAATATCATGATGATAAAATTGAGCTTATTCAGCGACATAAAAACATTCAGCATCAATGCAAATGTCAACAATTGAAAGTTATTGATGAGGATAAAAAGATGAGGAAAGGACATGAAAAGAGATTGGAAAAATAAAACCATCAGTAATGACAATTTTGCTTTCTTGTCTATCCTTTCAACCCAACATCTCAAAGCTGAAGCACAACAACAAAAAACTGGTCAAGTTTAACCTTTCAAGGCTCACTGAATCTAATTAACAATTTAATTTGATCAACTTCATATGATTTCAACTCATTTGGAGCTACATTTTGACCCAAAGAAACAACCAATTATGAATAAGTACCAGCTTCCATAGAGTTAACATTGCAACCAGAATAAACTGTTTCTAAATGGGTTAATTAAAAGGTAAAGTTTAACTCTTTTTTTTTTGTTCGCCTTTACCAATTAAATGTTAACAAACAAAGTTGAAATGTTCATCTAATATTGTTGTTCAATGAATGGACTCACAATTGAATCTGAAATAATGATAATGCATTTCAATCGATTGATTAAATAGATTTAACCATTCTGTATTCAATTTCATTAGGTTAGTAAGTCTTTTTTTTTCATTAACCTTATTGATTTGTGTTGCCATTGTTGCTATTGTACAAATGTTTTACATACTTTGGTATATAATTGGTGTAAATTAAAAGACGAAATAATTGTACAATTACAATTTAATTGTATTTAGATTAATTTCATTTGCATTTTTACTGTAAACTCAGCAAAACGTCCAAATGGAAATCTTTTTTGACTTCTTTTTGTTGCTTCCTTCTTCACTCTTACTGCCTCTTGGTAAGTTTTCCTGGTGCATTGTGAGTTCAATTGGCAAAAGCAACAAGGCAATGAGAAGGAAAAAAAAGTGAAGAGATTAACGATTCAAATTGCGATTCTATTCCACCAAATTGTAATCAATTTATCTTCCATTTTCTTGCAACTTTACTCTCATTTTGTCCACGATCAGTCCAAGCATTATATCCGTTTCCTTTGACCATTTTACAAGTCAAAATGAATCAAATAAATCAACTGTAAATGGACAATTTCCCTTTGCTTGTCAGATAAATCAACGCCTCTATCGCCATCATCACCATCATCACCAGTAACACTTATCAATGAAACATTTTGATGAAAATCAAAAGTGTATCTTCACAAAAAAATGTGTGTCTTACACCAGGCTTTATCCCTACACATTCATGATTGATGGACAATTAAACTTTGCTTTTCTTTAATTAGCAGTCTGTCATGGTTCCAAAGGTTTGTCTTGATCAAGGGAAATTGATATCTGTTGAAAGCTTTGAAATTGAATAGCTTGGTGGTGATTTAAGTATAACAGTTTACAAGTAAATGTTACAAAACTAAAATGTTTAACTTCAAAGTTGATCCAACTTTCTTATCATCAGTTCAACTCTTTCAAGGTGAAAATGTGTTTGTTTGAGGAACCATAAATTAACCTGAAAAAGAAGAGAAGAAAAAAAAGGAAAGTTAGGTTGATGAAAAGACGTGCTAAGAATTAGGATAAGCTGATTAAAAGAGGTTAATAGTGTTATTACAAAAGGGAATCGCTGGTTCTTTTCAATTTTAACTTACAATTCCTCTGGTTTTTTCAATTCCATCTTTACTTGTGCGTTAATACAGAATAACCTTTTGTTTTCCTTGATGTTACTTTTTTTCGCTCTATTTTTACTCCTTTCCTTTTCCATCCTCTGATTCTCTTCATCATTATCTGTTTCTCCTTCTTTTACTTCAAAATGATAACTTCCATGTTGAACCAAGTTTCTTTTGTTGTTTGACATTGGTTAAGTTGTGTTTTGAATCAAAGGCAAAAATGAATTGAATTGAAGCTGGCGAGTAACAGCATAATGAAAACGTTGATGGTGATGGTGAAGAAGGGGTGAGATGAAAATGGTGACACAAACCAGAGGCAAAGTTTATAAGTCAATACTGTCACTTTAACCATTAACAGTTAAGATAATTGGATTGAGCTGCTATTGATCAGCTTGATTTGACAAGAGACACATAAACAGAAATGAAACAGATCTAAACAATAAAAGTAATGGACCAATGGACAAAATAATATAACAACACCAAAGTCACAGGCATAAGACACATTTTTATATCATCATCGTTCAATCAAGAACATGATTCTTTGATTATTTCCTTTAACATTTACTTTACTCATTTTGGTAAATCATCATTTGATTGGAAAGAATGAGATTCAATGTGTTTATATTTTTTCCTGCTATACACAATTTTCATGGTTGAGATTTACTTTTAACGGTCAAAAGGGTTTGTACTTAAATTAAATAATAATTAATGGCCATTAAAATTAATTAAACCAAGTTCATTTGATTAATTTAACTCTCATAAGAGTAATCCAAGTCTCTGGGTTATATAAAAACATTCATTTAAATTAAAAATTATCAATTAATCTCAAATTAATTGTTAGTTAATTAGGATGAAGCCCCTTAATTTAAAAGATATCGATTACTGGTAAAAATGATACCGATAAGTATTAAAATTGAATAGATATCGATATTGTTGACAAGATATTTAAATGAGATTCGCTTTTAATCGCTCAACGTTTCTCTGGTTAGTTAAACATTTTTCAAATTGTTACCCAAATTAATCCATGACCATAGTTTGAATCTAAATAATTACCTTGTTTATTTTGTAATATGTACTTTGTGGCCTGTTTGCATATGTTTTGCTCCATAATCTTATTGAAATAAAACCAAATTTTTCAGCTCAACAGTCAACTTAAGCTTCCTAGTTAACCATCTAAATCTTAATCTTTGCTTGTCTCAAAGTTCAAGTGTTTAAGTAAATAAAGAACCCATCCTTCTTCAATACCATCACCATCACCATCATGATCATCCCCACCTTCTTAAGTCAACAAAAGTTTACAATTAACGATAATTGTAATTGTATCTTTTTCTCTCCAGTCTGTATTGCCTGTATCTTTTCATGTGTTATTTTGTGTCTCCGCTGTTTAGACTTTCATTGTATCTCTTGAACACATACATGGAGACATCCAAATCTAATTATATTATTCCGTGTAATGGAAGGAGAAAATAATCAAGATTAAGTTTTTTGGAATCACAGATAATGTTGATTAATTGTTTGCTGTTAAACCCGTGGCAAGATAATCTCAATCTTTATTCTCGGTCTATTTCAAATTGATTAAGTAAACAGATTACTGGAGGTGTGGACCTGGTTAAATCCATTGTTTAACATTATAATGCTTAAAATGCAAACACAATTTAGACATTTTTATTATTCTTTTCCTTCTCTTCTTATCTTTTACTTTTTTTTCTTAACAATCAATCAACTAGATTATCAATTATCAGTCAGATAAATCTATAGAATTGGTTAATTCTTGTTTCCTTTAATCTTTCATCTGTTTACCACGACCGTAATTACAATATGTTCCCTGCTCTGTCTTCCCTTTGGTAAATAAAAAGGAAACATTAGTTGAAAAAGTTTCACAAGTGTTTTGAGCTTGCAAGTTACTCTGGTGACAAATTTTGTTATTTTGTTACAGTTTATATTTTAGTTTTATATTTTTATACTTTCCAATATTATTATACAGTTAATTAGTTAATTTTCAATAATGAGTCTAGAAACCCTTCCTAAAGAAGAAACTTTACGACTTCGTGAACAACACATTGGAAAATCATGTACCCTGTTTTTCAAAGATGACCCACTCAAAATTGTTAAAGGTGATGGCCAATACATGTATGATGAAATTGGAACCAAGTATCTCGACTGTATCAACAATGTTGCTCATGTTGGTCACTGTAATCCTCATGTAACCCGAGCTGCTGCTCGTCAAATGTCACTCATCTATACCAATTCTCGATATCTTCATGATGCTATGGTCATATATGCTAAGCGATTGACTCAATATTTTCCTGAAAATTTGTCAGTCTGCTACTTTGTCAACTCTGGGTATGTTTTTATTTCATTTGTCTTCGTAATCCTTTCATTCTCTTTCCTACATTTCTAAATATTTCTTGTATAATCTGCCTTGTCTGATAGCTCTGAAGCCAATGATCTTGCTCTTCGACTTGCTCGCGCTCATACAAAACACAAGGATGTCATCGCTGTAGATAGGTAAGTTTTTTATATTAGCTCTTTAGTTCAGTGTTTTCTGAATATTTAACATCATCTTTCATTTGTGTATTTTAGTGCATACCATGGTCACTTGACTTCTATTGTTGAAATCAGCCCTTACAAATTTGAAAATATTAAGGGACACAAGAAGAAGAACTGGGTTCACATTGTAAGTGTTGTTGTTTAATTCAAATTGCCAGTAACTTTTAATAATTGTTAATCAATGTTTTTCATTTTTTTACTTTCAGGCACCGTTACCATGCAATTACCGGGGTAAATTCAACAAAGATAAATATGACGATGATGAAGTTATCGGAAAGCTGTATGCCAACGAAGTTGCTAAATTGATAGAAAACGCCCATGAAAAAGGTCGTGCGATTGCTGCATTCATATCTGAATCAATGCTAAGCTGTGGTGGCCAAGTTATTCCTCCTAAAGGTTATCTCAAAGAAGTTTACAGGTAAAAAATTGAAAAAATTATAAAATTTTATCCCCAAGAAATGAGTTAGATTGCTATTAATTTTAAAATTAGCAAATCCTAATCAAAAATTATTTACCCTTATTATGACATTTTTTGGATGATTTGACACGAAAAAATTATTAATTCATTATTTTCCTGTTTTATTATTAATTTCCTGTTTTAACCAATAATGCAGACTAGTCCGGGAAGCTGGTGGCGTCTGTATAGCCGATGAAGTTCAGGTTGGCTTTGGGCGCATCGGAAGCTCAATGTGGGCTTTCCAACATCCAAATAATGATGTTGTTCCAGATATTGTAACTCTTGGAAAACCTATTGGTAATGGTCATCCTGTTGCTTGTGTCGTCACAACACCAGAAGTGGCAGCAAGCTTTGAAGCTCTCGGAGCTGAATACTTCAATACAGTAAGGATTTGACCCTTGTTACCTTGTTTTCGCTACAATGTGTTGCGAGCCGTTTTTTTGACAATTATTAATTCTATCGTAGTATGGAGGTAACCCTTGCTCAATGGCTATCGCAAACGCTGTTCTTGATGTGATTGAGAAGGAAAATCTTCTCAAAAATGCAGCCAATGTTGGTTCTTTCCTCATTGAATCACTGGAAAAGTTGGCTGACAAATATCAAGTCATTGGTAATGTGCGTGGCTGTGGACTCTTCATTGGCGTCGAATTAGTTCGTGAAAGAACAAGCAAACGACCTGCAGGTCATCTCGCCGAATGGGTTGTCCGTCGTTTCCGAGATGAACGAATAATAATGAGTACGGAAGGAAAATACTCCAATGTTTTGAAATTCAAGCCGCCTATGACTTTTAACATGGAAGATGCTCAAAACTGGATCACCGTATTCACATCCATCATGAAGCAAATTGAAACTGAAGAGGTGTCCTCCTCAAGCAGTAGCTCAGCAAGTACTTCAAGTGTTGACTCGTTGTTCTCCAGTTGCGAAGAACTTGCCTAATTCATCACCAAATCATCTCAACATTATTTAACTTTACTCCTATTTACGCTCAAAATGAAAAGTTAAATTATTATTCTAATTCCATTGCATTCCGAATCATGATATAAACACTTATCATGTTGGCAAAATTTCTCTTAAACTTAGTATTGACCCTCTAAGGTCAATAATTTAACCCACCTAATGCTGATAACAGATCTGTTTTATAGATCGTAAACCCAAAACTATTTTCTTGACAAAGTGCCATTTTACAAATTAGTTGAAGCTAATCTGTATTCACAATCTCTCATAGTAAATGTAAATTCCCAAACCATTTAAATGTCATAATAACTGTAATTCATTGCCATAAAATCCCGACTTTTAAACTTCACAACCATTTATGACGATGAAAACCTGATACACAAACATCAAGCAGAAGAAAAATTAACGTAAACCACAAAAAAAATGAAGATTAAAATAAAATAAACACTTATGCCTGGTATTTGATTATAGCTGGTATTTGGGTTTCAACGAATCATTCACTAATCGTGATTTAACTGAATCTCCCGTGCAATAAACTTTAAAGATGATCGGCATCTTAAGCTCACCGGATGATTAACTGAATAACATCTAAATTGTGATTCATCTTGTGATCAACATTGGTCATGAAAAGTACAGCCATCTTGAAAGCGCTTTGACACTGAACTATTGTTTACCAATGTGAATCTCCATGTCTATAATTGTTACAAGTTTGTTTTTTAATCAAACAGACTAATAGATAAGGATAAAGTGAACATAAACAGCAAAAAAAAGCAGACGATTAAGTAATTACAATTTACTCAAGTTATTGATTGGAGGATTCAACTCGTAAGGAGGAAAAAGATGCTGAGGCTCGCCGAAACCCTTGAACACAGCACCAAAGATAATGAAAGCTGACCTGAATAGCTACTCAATAAAATGTCATATTTTTCACATCATCGATATCATGAAGATCTTGGCAACTTGAAACTGATTTAAAATGCTGTCTGTCAATCAATTACAATCAACTTTATTAAGGATTAGTATATCTTATCGAGGTGAGGATTTCAAGAACCATAAAGAGGAAGATTAAGTGGTTGAGTCAATGGTGTTTGTTTACCTATTTAGTGACTGGATTTGCTGCTTATGTAATAATTTATTCCCGTTTTTTTTCTGATGACATGTTTTCACATTGAACATAACATGAGCATCTCGTGAAGATGGATAATCCTGATAATAAATAAAGTAATTGGCTGATAAAGATGCAGATGATTAAAGATGAAACTTTAATGGGATAAACAATGTAAAAGCAACATTTGGATTCAGCGACTGGATTGAGCAATTTGATGAAAAAATTTTTATCAACATTGAATTATTTTGAAATTTTTACCCAACTTTCATACGGTTGAATCTGGATATCAATAAATGGTTGATAAATGATATATTTAGCTTCATCATCATCATGTTTTATCCTCAAATTGAACATATTCATAAAGGAAAAAGAGTCAACCATTTGCCATAAGAAACAAGTTTAAAGTGAAGCTATTTTTAATGGTAAAAATGAAGAGATGGGTCTGAAGGTAGGTCAATCACTATTGACTAACCAATAACAGGTTCTCAATTAACGGTTATCATCAGTCCAGTTTCCTCTTCTCACTCTTTATCATCTTAAATGATCATCGTTGGAATCAATGTTGGTCAATGAACTAACGCTATTCTCATCTTATTAGATGTAAGTTGTTGTTGATGTTGATGTTGCTGGTTCTGGTGCTGGTGCTGGTAATGGTAATGATAATTATTGCTTCCTATTTCTTGTCCTTTTAAAAATCAGTTTACCTGCAAGAAAAACCTGAACCCTCACGTGATTCCAATGATCAAGATAAATGAATATAATAGTGATCAAATAGACAGTGTGATTAGAAAGAGAAGATGAAAATGGACTCAACCATTCCAACCTGTTAATAGAGAACACCAAATTTAAGATTTTTTTTACTGTTGTTACAATTGTGCTTTTCTTCAATCTATTTATCAATTTTAATACACTTTTCAACATCATCATCATCATCGTCATCTTCATTTTCATCATCAGACATCAAAAATTGTCCAATAAACAAATAAACATCGTTGTATTGTTTACCGTTTTTTTGTTGGCTTGCTGCTCTGTGATTGCTGTTGACATGCTTTGCTAACATTTACTTGTAACGCTTTTAATCAGTTTCAATTTAATTGTTTTATCCCTTGGATATTAATTGTTATCTAATCTAATCCTGTGACTCTGTGAATTAATAAAATCATCAATAATGTCTTTAGCTACCTCGCCAAAAAATGATATCAATTTTTTTGCCAAAACATTGCTTGCTGGAGGTAAGATTGCAATCTTTTCATTTGTTCAACCTTTCCAACCTTTCCAAATGTCTTGATTGAGACGCAATTGAGACTTAAATTGGTTTCCCTTGATTATTTTGATTTACTTGACAGTCAGTATAACAAGCCATTGATTAAGTTCATTTTTATAACTCAAAATTTCCACCAGAAAATCACAAAATCTTGATTCTCGCTCAATCCTTTTTCCCCAATCTACTTTGACTAAGCTTTCTTTGATATTCTTGATATTTCTATTGATTAACTAAGCTTGTTAACCTTTTTATTATTGTGTTTAGTCCATCTATTAGTATTAGTAAATCAATATTCATATCACATGGGATCCATTTGCCTGGAATCATTTTTTGAATAATCATTTGATATCAACTCTTGAAATTGCTATTAAAATGGCATCTCATCATCAATGAATAGCATGAAAGATTGATTACAGTATTAATCTAATTGTAGCGAACTTAATTAGAGATTTTTTTTAACAAGGAAAAAAAATAAAAAGGATTTTTCCTAGTTTATCTTGTTAGTTTAGATTGTTGTTATTGAATTGATTGAAAAAAACAGTAATTAATCAAGTAGTTGTATTGAATAATATGAAGTCATAATATTATAGATTACCATCTTCATTATGTAAACCTAAATAATCTCAATAAGTCAACATTTGTCAATAATTAATTGGGTGCCTCTTCAATTGTACCTTTGTTTGATTAAACATTTATGCCAAACATTCAGATGATAAGTTTTTCCGTTCAATTCAACATTGAAACCTTGAATATTAATAGACTTTGATTGATTCTAATTATTGTACAATTCAAATGATCTCAATCTTTAACGGAAAACCAGTTAGTTTATTTTCAACTTTCTTCCAGTAGCAGTTTATTTTTAATCAGTTTTAATTTTCATGTATTTCATGAATTTATTAATATTAGAGACAATCATTACAGCTGTAGAGGAATGAGCATAATTTGCAGATTAAATTTAGCTGCTAGGCTTTAATTATAAAAGTGAAATGAGATCAGCTGTTGACAATTCAGCATTCCTTCAAAGCATATTAAACCATTACGATTAGCATGCTGGATAAATAGTCTAAAAAATTGGGAAAGTCTGTGATTAAGCCTAATTTTGAGCAAGTTTTCGTTAGGCATAACAGTTAGCAAGATTTTCATTGAATTTTTGTCTTGGTTTGGAAGCTTGTTTGGGTTCTGAATTCAGTCCAATTTCAAAAATGAAAAAATATTTAGATTAGTTTGATTTTATTTTCATATTAATTTACGTTGATGCATTTATTATGTTTTTTTGGTTAAAGGTGTCGCTGGGATGACATCAAAAACAGCGGTTGCCCCATTGGACAGGATCAAGATATTGCTTCAAGCTCATAATACTCATTACAAAGATCACGGTAAGTCTGACAATAATTGTATTTAGTTGTTAATTTTAATTTTGTTATTTCATTGATTCTGATTAAACTTTATTGACAATGTCTTTATTAATCAGGAGTATTCAGTGGGCTTAGAGGTATCGTTGAAAAGGAGCGCTTATTAGGACTTTATCGCGGCAATGGAGCTCAAATGGTTCGGATATTTCCCTATGCAGCTGTTCAATTTTTATCATTTGAAATTTACAAAAAGGTAACAATAGTTTTTTTCTTGTTTTGATTCGTATCAGTGATTGATTTTTGATCAAATTTGGTTTTGTTTCTTTCAGCATTTAAGCCAAATGTTTGGTGTTGGTCATAGCATTAAATTTTTTGCTGGTTCAATGGCCGGTGTTACTGCTGTGATGACAACTTATCCACTAGACTTGGTTAGAGCTCGATTGGCTTTTACTGTTACACTTTCTACACCTGATACTGGAATCAAGGGAGCCGCTCAAGCTACTGGCATTGAAAGATTCAGAATAATTGCTACAATGAATGAAGTTTTACGCCATGAAGGTGGCTTCAGAGCTCTATACAAAGGATTAAGTCCAACTATTCTCGCAATGGTTCCTCATGCTGGTAATTTGGCTTTGTTTTTGATTTCAACCTGAACCATCTTTTTTACACAAAATTTCCACTCTATTCAAATCCATTCATTCTATATTCTTACTCTTTTCAGGTTTATCATTTTATTCATTCGAAAGACTTAAACACTTCGCGCTTCAATATTTTCCCGAATTTTCTTCTAATCAACAAAAGGATCGCCTTGTCCTAAATTTTCCTGCTAAGCTCATTTGTGGAGGAATCTCAGGTATTTAACAATTTAAACGGCCTAATGCACCAATTCACTTGCTCATCCAGTCAAAGACAGACAACCTTATTATCAAGAATCACAGAGCAGTTCATGGTTTGCTCAATACTTGATAATGTTGTTTTAACCAATCTGGATTGATTTCATGGCTGATTTTAATGAATATATTTCTCGCTGTAGATTAAATTTGGACATTTTTATTAATCAATCTTTCTTTATTCTCATTCTATCAAAATATTAGGTGCCATTGCCCAACCATTTTCATATCCATTGGATGTCGCCCGACGTAGGATGCAGTTAAGCATGTTAAACCCTGAAACGTATAAATACAGTAAAAATCTTATTACTACTTTAATGATTACATATCGTGAACATGGAATCTATTCTGGTCTTTATCGTGGTATGAGCATAAATTACATTCGAGCAGTACCAATGGTTGCCGTATCATTCACTGCTTATGAAGTAATGAAACAACTCCTTGGTTTGGATACAAGTGTTGACGGTTAACCAACATTTAACGAACTGTCTTTTCCTGCAATATTCAATACTCAATTGTTATAATAATTAATCGCAAATTTGCAAAATTTATAAATCAGATGGTTTTCTTGTCTATCTTGTTCACTGGCCCAAATTTTTGCTCATAGAAAGTGTAATTATTAATGTAATACAATACAATTTTTATCAACTTTTGTAAGCTTTATGCATTTCTAATGTTTTTATGTCGATTGTTGTTTTTACCCTATTTTTTGTAAATTAAATTGAATGCATAAGCTTTAGTTTATGAATACATTCTTACCAAGATTTTTGTTCCATCGATATAAAATATCTAAAGATTTAAATCCAAATTTGTCAAATAAACCGGTAATTTCAGTTTCGTGGCATATTTGATAATAAAGTAATTTAAAAATTGAACTGTCGATGCGTATCTCGAGAGGTCAAGTAGTAGCAGCAAACTTTGAATATAGTCTTGAGGGATAGAGTGAATATTTTTTCAATACTTCATTAATCACTAGAAATTCACAAAAGTCTACTTTATATTTTAATTTTAAAAAATATCTTACCTTATAAATTGTCAACATGTAAAGACTAAAAACGATAACTAACAATCGATCTATCGAGGCTCAATCAGCTGGTGCTTCAATCAGTCAGTAAGCAAACACTTTTTACATGTGGTTTGAAAAGTTTGTTTAAAGCTATTGTTTTGTTGCTCTTTTTTCTTAGATTTCAATTTTTGATTGTGATTGTGGTTTAAATTATTTTTTCATTTAATTATGTATCGACGTCAACAAAGGTTAAGAAGAGAATATCTATTCCGTAAGTCTGTTGAAGACCAGAAAAGAGCTGTTGCAGAGAAGAAGCAAAAAATTAAAGAAGCTCTGGAAACCAATGAACCTATTCCAACTGATTTAAGAAGAGGTGCTATTCAATTAAGTAGAGTCGCTGAACTAGATGATGATGGAGGTGAACAGGTAACTAACCACGAGGATGATGAATATCGATGGGCTGGTGTTGAAGATCCTAAAATTGTTATAACAACTTCAAGAGATCCAAGTTCTCGTTTGAAACAATTTGCTGCTGAAATGAAACTTGTCTTACCCAATTCACAGCGAATCAACCGTGGTAATTATGATATGAAGAAGCTGTTTGAAGCATGTCGAGCCAATGATGTTACTGATTTCATAGTTGTCCATGAAACTAGAGGTCGACCCGATGGATTGATTATTTCTCATCTACCCTTTGGTCCAACTGCTTATTTTCAATTAGCCAACGTAGTAATGAGGCATGATATTGCAAACATCGATAAAATGTCTGAAGCTTATCCTCATCTGATATTTCATAATTTTAATTCAAAATTGGGTAAAAGAGTTACAAGTATATTGAAATACTTGTTTCCAGTGCCAAAAGAGGATAGCAAAAGAATATTAACTTTTGCTAATGTTGACGATTACATTTCATTCCGACATCACACATACAAAAAAGTTGATGGACAGATTGAACTTACTGAGGCTGGACCACGATTTGAGCTGAGATTATACCAGATCAAACTAGGAACACTTGAAAATGAGGATATCGCTCGCACGGAATGGACTCTTAGACCTTACATGAATACAGCGAAGAAACGAAAACTTTTTGGTGATGGGCAAATTTAAATTAAATGCAATTGTAATTTTATATCAACTGTAAACATAATGTCAAAATTAAACTTTAGCAAGGAATAAAAACCTTTGCTATTTTTGCTCTTTACATTAAATTTCTTCTTTAATTAATCTTTAATGGCTCTACCATTCTTTTATGCAGAAACAACTAGTCTATTAATAGCACAGTCAATTGATAATTTACAATCAAAATCAAAATGATTCAATAGTCAATTAAAAATGATCTAAATGATGAGTCAAGTAAGAAGTTAAAAATGATCTAAACAAAAAGTATACTATTGAGGCCCTCCGCAACTTTGATTAACTGTGCGTCACTTTCGATCGTGGGATGAGATACAATAAATGTGGATGCAATAAGTTCAAAACTATGGTAATAAGATGTCATTTATGCATAATCAGTACAACAATAGATTTGAAGTTAGATCAGAGTATGTAGACTATTAATGTAATCATATTGTTTTGCCCTTATTGTTTGATTTTCATGCAAATGAGAAACAAATCAGTGTATTCCAATTTTCCAAATGAACCATTTTATGAGCCCATATAATGTGATGTTAATTCGAGGTAGCATGAAGGTATCACAATTTTTTCAACTTAATTATGTATTGGGTATCAGTTAATCTGTGGCTTTTCATCATTTACTTTTTGCTCAGATTTTTCTAACCATTTGAACCATTTACTCGTTCTAAAACTTTTAGAGAGAGATAATCTTAGGGGTATAATAACTTTTTATTGCGAGTTAGTCATTAATTAACAATCACATCGTGATTTTATTTTCATTACAAATTACAAAAGCGATAAAAAGCTTACCTTCAATACAATTGATTATAAATAAACTTTCCAATGATTTTCAATATGTTGCGAGTTTCTGAAATTACTTTATTTTTGTGGAGTTTTTTGTATTTCAATCAGTGTGACGGCCAGCCACGAATAACCCAATCAGAAGCAAATCAAGTATTAAATGCTTTTACCAATGGAGGTGGTCTCGGTGTCATGAGAACAGTTTTGGATGCCGTCAGGAGGTTGGAAAGTGAATCGACGGCTAAACAATCGCGATTGAAAAATGTATTCCGACGTCGTCTTAATTATGCTTCTTACGATTTGGATTCAATGGATTTGGAACATGAAATGATTGATGAAACTGAGCAAATGATGTCCACCATTTTGTATCAATTGTACGATGAATGGGATACAATTATTGAACCAATGCGAGAAGCATTCAATTTGGATGATTTAGCTCGTCAAAATCCGAAATTGTTCATGTATTCGCCAAATAGCAACTCCGACCCAACTGCATCAATTCAAAGCAATGGACCAGCCAATGAAACGATCATGAATATAATCAATGGACTGTCCTCTGTTCCAAAGGTGTTCACCACAGCAAATAATTTACTGGATAGAGCAACTCATTCATTAGAATCAGGTAATTTGAATTATATTGATAGGAATAAACTTCAAGATAAAGTTATCGAAAAGTTGACTAAAATTTCTAACACTTATAATTTCTTTTGAAAATCAAATTGAATTTAAGAACAAATTTTAATAATTTAAAAATGTTAACTTTTATTGAAACATAAATAAACTTTTAATAAATATTAATAAACCACTTTTCCAAACTCTTTGCATTTAAAAGCCTCTCTTGATTCAAAATTTATCAATATGTAAAATTAGCTGTTTATAGCAAGTTGCCAATAATGTTGACTTTGGATGCTTATTTACGCACTTATTCAATTTTACAATTTAGGATTTCGGTTTTTGTATTTCAGGACTTGACTATCAATTTTAAAATATAAAATCTAATTTCCGAGTTTATTACATGTTCATGAAAAAAAAGACGTTGATACATGGATTTTAATATTGCTCAATGTCTTCGTTTATTGTTTTTAATCAATAGAAATCATTTTAAAAGAAAGTTGACCAATATAGCAGAGAGTAAAGAAGGAGTTACAACTGTGACAAGAGAAAGAAAGTCAAAAAAAGATGATATAAATCAAAAAAAACATGAACAGGATTATATCATTCTTAAAATGATGAAGTTACAAATATAAATATATATATATATATGCATATGAATAAGGTGTGATTTTGAAACAATTGGATCATTTAAAGGCAAAAGGAAAACAAGGGAAGAGGAAAAGAAAAAGTATGAACCAAGCAATATATATTAAATAAATTTGTGAACATGTGTTCTGATTGTATGACAATCAGACTATCAGACCAATCCAAACAGGATTCGTTCAAAGATTCAGCTGTTATGAAAAAAAACATATCCAAGCACAAGATTAAGAGAGGGGGGCAAGAGAAGAGACAGTGTGAGTAAATATAGAGACCTTAACTAAAAAAATGTTTACAGAGGTGGATTTTTACATAAAAAAGTAGGAAATGGTTGATAGTTTTGTGCTCTTTTGTCTTGCAGTTGATAGTTGATTCTTTTCTTTTCCCCTGACTTTTCCTTCTTCGCCGTGTGTTTGAAACGATTTCATTGTACTCTGTGGATGAAAAAAAAATTGCACTCTTCTTTTCCATGAAGCAGAAAATTATGGATGATCCATCCTTTTTTGTTTATTTATCCTAACCTAATATCTCGATTAATTTGCTCTTGGTCGCTTTGCCATTAACTCGAATGCTTCCTTGAAAAGAGACGGTCTTTTTCCTACTTGTGATTCCCAAGAGTCGGCGTTAACAATTTTATGAGAATTTCTCACCACAAACTCTAAACATTTGTCTTTCAGTTCAATACTATTACATGCATCAGCTAGAGCTAAAATTTCACCAGAAGTTTCAATGGTAACTTTAGAGGCAAGATATTGTTCACACAACATCTTTAGTTTAGGTAGATCATATTTATCTGCAGCAATAAGCAGGTCACAGGCATACTCTTCGAGGTTTCCAACCTTATCGGTATAAATAAAATTAATCATTTCTCTTAAAACAGCTCCATCGATGTCTTTAACTTCAATTTTACTTTCTGCTTTCTCTTTGGTTTCGTGGGAGAACATGGCTCCGATTACTTTCGATCTCATTGACAAGATAATTTTATGGGCTTTGACTTGGATTTTATCTTTTCCTTCCAAAATTACGTCTGTTTTCTCAGCTCCGTTGGTCAAAAAATTAGTAAGATCACTGGCGATCGAGTGGCGAGCCAAAGCTTCCTCAGGGTAGATTAGCTCAATATGCTCATTGTCAGGACAGGGAACCAAGGAAGAAGTCACTTCTCCAAACATGGTGATTTCACATAATATGCGAAGAGAATCTTCTGCTCCGAGCATGTTATTAGCAGGATTAAGCAGTAATTCTCTAGGAGCTAGAAGCTTATATCCATGACCTTCGGTTCCAGCTTTAAATATTCTTCCCTCATGTCGACTACATTCTCCAGTGTACCTTGGATCACCTTCGGCATCCAGCACCGATATCACATATTTTGCTCTGACTTGCTGTTTTGTCCTGTCTTCGCAGGACCTGTGATAGATAGATAAAATAGATAAAGGTGATGAATGATTTCCAATTTTGCACATCTTAAAATGCCTTGTTTAATCAATACTTGAATATTGATTGTCTGTACAAATAGATATTGAATGTTTAAATTTTGGATCACAAAACAACGCTTTGGAGTGATAATAGACTCAAGTAGCAATTTTGAAGGAAGAAGATTATTACGAGACGTTATCATATCTAGAAATAAAGTATAACAATGTCTCTGTTGTTTTGATCAAATAGAATGATAAAGTATTTAAACAGGATCAATATCGTCGTCAGAGCGTGAACTCGTACTTTAAAGTACGAACAGAAAGAAGTGTTGACATTACCTTAAAAATAAATGAATACCAATATACTCAATGCCAGATTGTTCATCTAAAGTTTTGGGTCTCAATTTCATAAACCACTTATCCTTGGAATTAGGTGGCGAAAAATTAGGACAGCAGATGAATTCGGTATCACTAGGAATATAACTGAAATTTTTGATCGTCCATAAGTGGCTGAATTTTGTAACCGGCAGCAAACTGATACTTTGACTTGATGGCATCAGAGAAGCTTGAGCTCTTCTATGGGATGCAGCTGAGAAAAGAGAAAGAGACAAATTAGTAAAATGTGAATGAGGAAAACACTGCTAACTGAAGAAAATGCAAGAAACAGAGGGGAAAGGGAAACACATAAAAAAGCTAGTAACAAAGAATTAAATTATGATAATACGATGATAAGTAGAGAAACAAAAGGAACATAGAAAGAGAGCAAAAGAGAGAGAGAGTGAGAGAGTGAAATAGTATGATGAAGAGAAGGTGAGATAGGGAGTGAGATAGATAAATGTTAGATAACTAGAAAGATGGAGGAGAAAGAGAGATGCAGAAGGAATGACTAAAATAGTGAAATGAGAGAACGATGGCAAATAGGATAACGCAAGAGTTCTAAGAAATTAACCTTAAAGTAACCCATGAAAATGGTCAAGCACAAACTGAGAGATACAAGGCAAGAAAAATAAACATACCCATAGTAGGATAAACTCGGAACCGAGAAGTATTGTTGGTGTTGTTTGGGCCTTGTTGGTCCCTCATTAGACCATTCAGATTAACAACCAAAGTAAATGAAAAAATAACTGGCAATGATAAGGGTGATGATGAAGTTAATAAACACACAGATTTATCAAGCAACTGTAAAGATTTAAATTTTTACTCTATGATTTTAAAGAAAAGTAGACAGAAAGGAGTGAGAGGAAAAAAAAGATGAGATTGAGAGTGAGTGAGGAAAAAAATGTAAACCAAACAATGACAAGTTAATAAGATTTAACAAATAAAGGTTGCTCAACTAGCAATATCGCGCAGTTAAGTGATTAATAGTTAAAGTATCATGACATAGAAGGATAAGGTTATTAAGTAGCAAAAGTGTTGGTCAAAAATAATCTAAAAATTACCAATACAAATGACCAAATTAAATAAGTCAAAGTGGAAATTATATCACGATATATCATGGTAAATATCGATATTTAACTCTCCAATTGGAATGAATCTGAGTTATAATCGATAGTAATCGATTATATCGATACTTGAAATTTTAGATATCGACATCAGGCAGTGAATATTGCCCATTTTTTTGTGCACAAGAAGTCAAGCATTTTAGCCTGTAAAGCGTATTATAACGCAAATCTTCAATGCTGATCGGCGCTTAATTTTTCTTTATTTTTTTCTTTTACTTTTCTTTGTGTCTAAATTGATCATTTATTTACTATTGTTTTGTTTGTGTCTCACCTTTATCAATTTGGCTGTTTAGCTTTTCCTCATTTTTACATTCACCATTTTTATATTGTTTATCTTTCCTTACTCAGCTGCATCCCATAGAATCTTCTCTGATGCCATCATCTGATCATTCATCAACACCCAATACAACTTCATCTTCCAAGAAACAACGAAACAGCCAACCAGCCGCAACGGATGGGAAAAACATCGTTGCCTTGCCTCCATCAGATGGTGTCATCACTGATAGAGATTTTTTGACTAGGCTACCGGCTAAAGAAGGGAATGATCTTTATGTTGGTGATATTATATGGTCCAAAGTGGCCGGTTATCCGTGGTGGCCTTGCATGATAACATTAGATCCTCAAACTGGCAAATATTCAAGACCAGGGGGTAAGTTTTTTCCCCGCCAAATAATTTTAATCTAATCTTGTACTAATAACCTCCATTATTTTTTGAATTTTGATAGGTAATGCTGAAAAATCAGGACATCTTTACCATGTTCAATATTTTGGTTCAAAAGCTCTTAGAAGCTATACTTCACCTGGATTAACTATGCCTTTTGAAGGCCGAGAGAAATACGAATTGGAGCTTGATAGAATTAAAAATACCCCCGGAACTCAGAAGGCCCTTCGTAAGCAGGCTTTGAGTAGGCTTGCTATTAAGCCTAGTTTTAAAAAAGAATGGAAATTTGCATGTGATAAAGCTGAAGAAGCTCTCAAATTAGACCGGGAAACTCGCATCAAACAGCTTACATTTGAATATGTCGTCGTTAAAAGTGAAAAGACACCATCAAAAAAAGAAGAAGTCAAGACACCTAAATCTAAGAAAAGCAAAAAGCCAGAAAATCCTCTAAATGTTTACGATTTCAGTGATGGTGATGAAGATTTTGAAGAAGAAGGTACATCGCCTACTCTATGTCTATGGAGCCAGAAGCGAGCTAATCGAAAAGGAGACTTTAGTGTATATGCTGCTCAAACAAGACCTAAACTTGTCGAAGAAAAACCTGATCTTAGTGAAGAAGAACTGGAAAAAATGTTAGAAGCTCGGTGGAATAATATGTCAGATGATCTGAAGGCAAAATATTTTGTCCGTGAAGTAAATGGTACTGAGGAGACGCCTGCTAAGAAAACACCGGCTAAAAAAGAAGATAAGTCTCCTAGAGGACGGAAGCGTAAAAGTGAAACAAAAGTAAAATCAGAAAATCAAAGTAATGGCGATGCTTCGACCGCTGAAGGTAACGGAAATATTAGTGAAGATGAAAGTGCCCTTGTTATTGCTGATACTACTACTCCAAAGAAAAGTCGTAAATCGCAAGAATCTGAAGGTACTGGCAAAAAGTCATCTAAAGCGCTTAAAGTAACAATATCTGCTAAATCTCTTAAAGTCACAATATCAACTAACACACCAAAAGACAGTAAAACACCTAAAACACCTAAATCAACAAAATCTAAAGAAACATCTCCAAGGAAGCGACCATCATCTACTCTTGATGAAAAATCAGAAGCCTCTGCAACTCCTAAAAGACCTCGTAAATCGACTAGTAAAGAGAATGGACATGTAGCTGAAAATGAGAAGAACGAGAATCACGAAGGAGATAAAAGAAAAGATAAAGACAAAGAGAAGAGTAAAGAGAAACAAAAGTCAGCCGAGAACGAGAAAAGTAAAGACAAGACTCCAAATAAACGCAAAAGTGTGGTACAACAAATGGATACTGTTGAATCAGAAGAAACACGGATCAGTGAGGATGCTTCTTCTAATAGTGAGGTTGAATCAAATGAAAATAAAGAAGAAAATGATCGAGTATGTGAACAATGTTCAGAAGAGGCTATTGAAGATTATATCCAATGTACCGGACCTTGCCTTCGAATCTACCATAACAATCACGTACCTAAAACTTTTAATCACGAAAGTATACAATGTTTCGAATGTGCCTCAAGTAAGATTTGTTCATTTTAAATACACTTTTCTGATAATTTTTTTCCAACTAAACCAAAATCTAATATCGTTCTTCTCTTCTTTAGACACTCATCTTTGTTTCATCTGTCGATCTCATTCGCCCGATGTTAAAAAGTGTTCAGATGATAAGTGTGGAAAATTCTACCATGTTAAATGTTTACAAGAAAGTTATCCTCATAAAATGATAAAGGACGATAATAACGAAGGTTTTACTTGTCCCTTACATTTTTGTCTCACCTGTTACGTTGAACACCAAGACGATCAATGTCATGGTTTCATGAAAAAACGTCTTCTAAGATGCCTTAAATGTCCTACTGCCTACCATTTAACCGATGCATGTTTGGCTGCTGGAAGTATTTCCCTTTCCTTTTCGTACATTATCTGTCCTGAGCATATTCCATCTAGAGCCTCAAAACATGTTACTGTCAATTGGTGTTTCTCTTGTAACCAAGGTAATTATTGATTCTAAAATTGATTGATTTTTTTGACAGCTATAAGACGCTTAAATTAATATCGTTCTATTTATCAATCTATTTTAGGCGGTAGTTTAATCTGCTGTGAAAGATGTCCTGCAGCCTTTCACCAAGCATGTTTGGAAACTCCTTTACCAGAAGGAAGCTTTTTCTGTGGTGATTGTTTAGTTCGCAAACAACTACATTATAATGATATTGTATGGGTTAAGTTTTGTGGATATCGTTGGTGGCCTGGTAAAGTTTGCCACCCTAAGAATGTGCCTGACAACGTAATGAACCTGCCTCATTCTCGTGGTGAATTTCCTGTTTACTTTTTCGGAAGTCATGATTACTACTGGATTAATCGAGGCAAAGCCTTCCATTTTGTTGAAGGAGATCTCAATAAAGCTCCAGCTCTATCTAAAAGCTCTAAAAGCAAAGATTTTAAAGATGGTTAGTTATTCATTTAATTAATTTTGTTTTGTAATGATTATATTGATAACTTCTATTTTCTTTATTCATTACAGCTATAACTGAAGCTATTGAAGCTTTCACCTCATGGCAAGAAGCTAGACGAAACGCTGATAATAGCCGTAAAATCAAACCACCGCCCTACGTTTATTTGAGGGTAAGTAGTTGAATTTTGGTCTTATAATTAAAAAGCTAACTTTTTATTTTTTATTATTTTAATGTTTCAGTGTAACAAGAGAGTTGGTAAAGCTCCCAAGAATTCTCTTAAAGAAGACGATGATACAGAACCAATCGTTTGCTCTTGCAAATCGGACGCCGAAAGTCCTTGCGGTATCGATGAAGATTGCTTCAACCGATTAACTCTTATTGAGTGTGATCCTAGCCGCTGTAATGCCGGAGATAAATGTCAAAATCGTCGTTTCCGCAAAAGAGAGTATGCTAAAGTTTCGCCTTTCAAGACCGAGAGTCGTGGCTGGGGCCTTAGAGCTCTCCAGGATATAAAAAAGGGTAGTTTCGTTATTGAATACGTTGGAGAATTAATAGACGAAGCCGAATGTGAAGCTAGAATAAAGACAATGATTGAAAAAAATGATTGCAATTTCTATTTTCTCACTATTGACCGAGAAACAATCATTGACGCTGGACCTAAAGGCAACTTAGCTAGGTTTATGAATCATTCATGTTCGCCAAATTGTGAAACACAAAAATGGCTTGTTGGTGGAGTTACCAGAGTTGGACTTTTTGCTATCCAAGATATACCGAAAGGTACCTATTTTTCGCAGTTTTTCAATTGGAATGTAGCCTTATTCATATTTTTAATCTTATTTTCTTCTTCTCATTTAGGTACTGAGCTGACTTTTAACTATAATCTTTGCTGCCGTGGTAATGAAAAGACAGTATGTAATTGTGGAGCTAAAAATTGCAGTGGCTTCCTGGGTGTTAGACCTAGTAAACTCCCAGAGGAAGAGTCTTCTAAGAAAGCAGCCAAGCCAGAAAAACCGAAACCTAAACCGAATAATACTAAAAAAGAATTTGAAAGTTTTCATGAGGATGAATGTTACAAATGCGGAGAAGGAGGTGAACTAATCATGTGTGATAAACGTAAATGTCCGAAGTCGTATCACTTATCTTGTTTGAAATTGCCTAAATTGCCTCGTGGACTTTGGTTCTGTCCTTGGCACCATTGTGACGAATGTGGTAAAAACGCTTCGAAATTTTGTGACCTGTGTCCCACATCTTTCTGTAATGATCACGGCACTAACTTATTGAACAAAAATGATAAAGGCAAGCAAATTTGCTACGAGCATCTAGATGATGTAGAGAAAGACGTAATGCCGTCAAAACGTTCAAAGTCGTCACGTGAAACGAAATCAAATGGTGAGGCTAATCATAAAGAAGAAAAGGCTGAAGAGGCTAAAACTCAAGCTCAGCTAAATATCAAAGAAGAACCAAAGACAAATGAACAAATATCAAAACCTGAAACAATTGAAGAAGCACAAAATCCCGAAAATCAAGATGAAATAGACTCACAGGAAGCTGAGCATCCGAAAAAGGAGGAATCGGTAAAAGAACAGACGGAAGAACAAGAACTGGAAAAGCCAATTGAAACAGAAGAAACTATAAATACGGAAGAATCGCCAGTAGTAAAAACTGAAGAGATAACTCGAACAGATACAGAAGTACAATCAGATGAGAATGTAGAAAAAATCGAAGAAGACCAACCAGTCAAAGAAGCTCAACCGGTCGAAGAAGTTCAATCAGTCGAAGAAGTTCAATCAGTTGAAGAAGTTCAAGCAACCGAAGATAACCAACCTGTCGAATCAGTTGAATCTACCGAAGAAGTGAAACCTGTCGAAGAGGTAAATGCTGTCGAAGAGGTAAAACCTATCGAAGAGGTGAAACCTGTCGAGGAAATTCAACCTGCCGAAAAAGTTCAACCTGTTGAAGAAAAGGAAACTGTCGAAGAAAATCAACCTGTAGAAGATCAAGCAGTTGAAGAAAATTCAGTTAAAGAAGAAATTCCAGTAACAGAAGTAACCTCAATTAAAGAAGAAAAATCAGTCTTAGACCAGCCAAATGGAGAGGAGAATGGACTTATAAAGCACGAGGAGGAACAACAAAAATGAAAATAGAATCAAATTTTTTATCTAATGATTATCTTTTTCCAAATCATGCTCAGATATTTCAAATATTAATTCCCTGAGTCTGCTCAGAATGTAATTTCTATTTCATTTAAATCATTTGCCTCTTGACTTATCAGCTTATTCTAAGCAACAATTATCAATACGCTTTGAATCGCAAGCTTATCTAAAAAAAAGCTTTATTTTCAACTTAAATCGAGTCCATTAAGAATAAGACAATTAAATCACTTTATGATTTGCAGACTAAAACAACGTAAAAAACGGAATAAACAAAGATTACTCTGATTAATTTGTTCAACAATTGTTTTTATTCTTTCGCATCCTCCTACCATAGCATCCTTATTCACATTTATACTCTCAATTATGCTCTAATCTATTTTATTTTATACTTTAACTGTTCTAATTCATTATTTTGTCAATTAATAATCATTAAAAAATTGTAAAATGGTTCATGTGAGTTGTCACCTTTATTAATTTTATTCCAACATTAACTGTCAACCTTTCTAATAATCTGACGATCTCGTTATCCACAGATAATTATCGAAGGAAACATTGGAGTCGGAAAAACAAGTTTACTTGAAGCCATGAAGGAAACATACGGTTCCAGTGTCAAGGTATTCCCTGAGCCGGTTAAAAAGGTTCAATGTTGTGCAGGTGAAAATCTTCTATCGTTAATGTACAATGACCCAAAACGATGGTCATTTACCTTTCAAAAGGCAATTGCTTTAGCGATGATGAAGATTCACATGGAAGCCAGAAAGACTACCGATGCTCATACAGTCACAGAGAGATCAATTTTTGGAACCAAAATAGTCTTTGTTGAACATCTCAAAAACAAGTAATACTGAAATAGAACCTAAGAAGTTAATATTTATTACATTTTCACGATAATTTTTATTTCCATCCCTTTCAGAGGCCTCATAACCAAAATGGAACACTGGCTACTAGAGGATGAATTTAATTTTTATGTTACTCAGTTGAAGGTAAATCCTGATATAATTGTTTATCTTCGAGCCCCACCTGAAGTTTGTCTGAAGCGGATCCAAGAACGAGGAAGACCCGAAGAGAAGAAGATTACATTGGTCAGTAATTCTCAATTTAATCATATTCATTCAAGTTTAAATGTAAATTTTTATTCACTTTATATTCATTTCAAAACAGGATTATCTTAAAGGACTCCACGATCTTCATGAGCGATGGTTGGCTCCATCTTGTAACCACTGTCACAATGATATCTCAGCGAGTAAAAATGTTATTGTCATCGACGCAAATCAATCGAAGAGTCAGATGTTGACCCAACTTAGATCATTTGAGGAGAAATTATTCAGTGCCCAGTAAATTGGTAATATTGAGTTGATTCTTGGAAACTATCTAACAGCTCTTAAAACCTGTTTCTCGTTTAAAACCATTTAGCAACCTGTTCCATTGAAGATACTGTTTAACATTAACAATTATTCTTGTTTACTAATTAAATTAAAATGTCCTTGAGTATTTTTTTTCATTAAGTTTAACCGGACATCTCAAGGTAAACAAGCATGTTAATCCCATGATGTCTGATCATAAAGATGAACAGTTTGAGGGAGAGAAAGCAATCTGAGAGTAAATCACAGTTTACTGGAATCAATCGAAGCCTCAAAATTTCTTTACATTTAACATGTAATCTTGATCTTCAAACATGCTAGTTGTTGAACACAGTTGTTTCGTCAGAAATCGTCGCGTTTATCTTGGAAAGGATTCGATCTACTAATAAAGGCTTTCTCAAGCCCTCTCTAAACCATAGTAAGAGCTCAATATGTCAGTCTCTTCCATAAATAATTGAACAAACATTACTAATTACTGAATCAAGCTGCTGAAAGTATTGGACTTTTAAAATACAAATAATTTAGAATCTCAGAGTCTGCTGAGCTTTTCTGGTTTTTAAATTTAAGATTATCTATTCAATAATTAGAAATCTAGTGAATCAATGAAAATACTGTTGCGAGTATTTTATTAATAGGATTAAGTCCACTAGGACCTAGTAGCTTGTATCCATCGCCTTCGGTTCCAGCTTTAAATATTATTCCTTCATGTCGACTACCTTGGATCACGCTCGGCATCCAACACCGATATCACATATTTAGCTCTGACTTGCTGTTTTGTTATGTCTTCACATGACCTGTAAAATAGATAAAAGTGATTAATAATTTTCAATTTTGCAAATCTTAAAATAACTTTTCTAACCAATAAAAACCAAACAAGATCAACATCGTCGGTGAGCATGAACTCGTACTTCAGTACGAAGAGAGAAAATACTGACATTACCTTAAATATAAATGAATGCCAATATATTCAATGTCAGATTGTTCATCTAAAGTTTTAGGTCTTCATAAACCACTTATCCTTGGAATAGGACAGCAGATGAATTCGGTATCACTAGGAATATAACTGAAATTTTTGATCGTCCATAAGTTGAATTTGGTAACCGGCAGCAAGCTAATAGTATGAATTTATGGGATCAGACAAGTTTGAGCTCTTCTATGGTATGCAGCTTATAAACTAATAAGAGACAAGCTGGTAAAGTGTGAATCAAGAAAACACTGCTAACTGAAGAAAATGCCAGAAACAGAGGGGAAAGAGAAACACATAAAAAATCTAGCAACAAAGAATTAAATTATGATGACTAGTAATGAAACAAAGAGAGAGAAAGAGAGAAAGAGCAAGAGAAAGTGAATGATGAAGAGAAGGTGAGATTGTGTGAGCGCGCAAGACGTAAATAGAGTCATACCAATCGCAGTATAAATAAAACCAATCGTATTATAAACTAAACCAATCATAGTTTTGAGCTCCATCCTCTTGGCTCCTCTACTCTCTGTTATAAATCGTAATAGAACGCGAATCCTCAATACTGATTGGCTTTTAATATTTCTTTATTTTTCTTTTAATTTATTTGTGTCTAAATTTGATCATCTATTTACTATTGTTTGTGTCTCACCTTTAACAATTTGACTGTTTAGCTTTTCCTTACAGTTGCTTCCCATAGAATCTTCTTTGATGCCATCATCTGATCATTCATCAACACCCAATACAACTTCGCCTTCAATGGAACAACGAAAAGGAGACTTTAGTGTATATGCTGTCCAAACAAGACCCAAACTTGTCGCAGAGAAGCCTGGTCTTAGTGAAGACGAACTGCAAAAAATGTTAGAAGCTCGATGGAATAATCTGTCAGATGATCAGAAGGCAGAATATTTTGCTCGTGAAACTAATGGTACAGACAAGACGTCTGCTGTAAAATCACCGGTTAAACAAGAAGCAGCGGCTCCTCGAGGACGAAGGCGTAGTAGTGAATTAAGATTGAATTTTGAAAATGGTGATGCCTCGAAATTTCGTGAATTGACGAAGAAAGATGCTGCAACCCAGTTAGCAGCTGAATTAGACAAATTGTTAGCCCCTGTGCCTTGTGATCAAAGACCACAATTAGAAGAGGATTTTTGTGGTTTTAACAAATTATTCAAAAAATTTATAGATGGAACAGGCCCTTCCTTAGTATGGGACAAGATAGAGCCTCTGCAATCTGATGCAATAATCAATTATGATTCCCTTTCATCACCAACTGTTGATGAAATTCGTACCTTGTTAACGAAATTGGTTGTTGTTAAATTAAATGGTGGTCTTGGGACATCAATGGGTTGTGTTGGACCCAAATCATTGATACCAGTTCGCAACGAGTTGACTTTTCTCGATCTTACAGTACAAAACATTGAACAATTAAACAAGGCTTATGGTGTTGATGTACCTTTGGTTTTGATGAATTCTTTCAATACAGATGCAGATACTCAAAAAGTATCCAGAAAATATCGAGGTTGTAAAGTTTCAATATACACCTTTCTGCAAAGTCGATATCCTCGGTTGAACAAAGAAACATTACTTCCTATTGCAACGTCCATAGACAGTGATCCAGAAGATTGGTATCCACCAGGTCATGGTGATTTTTATGAAAGCTTTGCCAAATCGGGTTTACTTGCTGATTTTCTTGCTGAAGGTGAGTTAATACGACCAATGTAATTTAAAATGATTAACTAATTTTTTCATTTTTCTTCAACAATTCACAGGTAGAGAATATGTTTTTATTTCTAACATTGATAATCTTGGAGCCACAGTTGACTTGAATATATTGAAATTTTTGTTGGATGCTAAACGAGTAAATAGACCATCATTTTTGATGGAAGTAACGGACAAAACTCAGGCTGACGTAAAGGGTGGAACCTTGATTCAATATGAGGGTAAATTAAGGTTATTGGAAATTGCTCAGGTTCCCAAGGAACATGTGGATGAATTTAAATCGGTGAAAAAATTTAAAATCTTCAATACCAATAACTTATGGGTTAGTCTGGAATCAATTGATGGTTTACTAAAATCTGATGGAATTAACATGGAAATTATTGTCAATCCTAAAAGTTTGGAGAATGGTTTAAATGTAATCCAATTAGAAACTGCTGCTGGTGCAGCAATGAAAGACTTTGAAAATCCAGTTGGAATTAATGTGCCCCGTTCTCGATTTTTACCGGTCAAAAAGACTCAAGATTTACTTTTAGTGATGTCCAATTTGTATTCACTTAATCAAGGTTGCCTCAAAGTGAATCCAGCTCGACCTTTCCCAACTGTTCCTCTAGTTAAATTAGGTGATGCTCATTTTGCCAAAGTTCGAGACTTTTTATCTCGATTCGCTTCAATACCCGATATGCTAGAGCTTAATCATTTAACAGTTTCTGGAGATGTTACTTTTGGACGAGGCGTCAAGCTTCAAGGAACAGTTATTATTATTGCAAATCACGGAGATAGAATAGATATTCCTGCCGGTTCAGTCCTTGAAAATAAAATTGTTTCAGGTAATCTTAGAATTTTAGATCACTGAGATTAATCAGTGAAATGCAAGTTGATTATAATCTATTGTTTTGGATCTGATAGTTTTTTGCTGTTTTAAATTATTGTATTATTAACGTGTCCTATTATCTAATTATTGTTAATGTTCATCCCCTAAAAATTTTAAATTAAAGTAATATTTAGTATTAAAATTTAAATCGACGATTCATTTATTGATACGGAAGGAAATATAAAACGGACTAGCATTTTGTAATCTTAAATTATTTAATGACTCGATTTGTCGGCAAATTTAAGCTGAAGAATAGGAAAATGTTTGACAAGAGAATTAAATTTGATCTCGATATTATCTAATTACATCAACTAGTATGTTATATTTATAAACCTTAGAAGGCTCAAATTCATTTCAATCATAAGAAATCTCAAGACTTACATTTTCAACAGAGTTAATTTCTACATCCTAATTTTTCACTTTTAAGACTTGCGTTTAGTATTTTTCCTGGTTGGGTCATAATCATAGGTTTTACGAAGTGGGCCAACTCCGGATCTTTCAAATTGATTTAAATATTCGTTGCTTATTTTTCTAGCAGCCCGGTCTTGTAATGTCGTTTTCCAAGCACCTTTTATGTCAGTCCAGCTTTGTGTAACTGCGTTAAAAATACCTCTTTTCTCTCCTTTAGCTTTTGGGATTGTAGGTGGAATTTTAAGAGCGGCTCGAACCTTAGGATTTAACATGATTAAACTTTGAAGAATCGAAATCGAATTCGACGTAGCCCAATATAAACCAATGGCTGCGGGCATTTTTGTAGTGGCATAAAAAATAACCAAGGGAACTGCAAACATTGAGCCTTTTTTCAAAAGATTTTGTATCGGGCTAACAGTAGTCTGAGCTGTGATTGCACCTAAGTATAATAAATTTATGTAAATTAATTAACAATTAGGTTAAAATTTATCAATATTTTTATCTATGGATTTAATAGATGGTAATCTTACCAAATTCAACTCCAATTTTCATGATACAGAATAATGTCAAAGCTGTCACTGAAGGTAAAATGTAAGTAGGATCTGGCACAGTTAAATCGAAGAAAGGACCAAAGCCACCATCTTTCATCACTTCATGTCCTGAAGAAGCCATTCTCCGTAAAGTGACGAAAAAAGTACCAAAAACAGCAACCTGAATGAGTAAGAAGTAAGAAATATAATTAAAATAAACAAAAAAAAATACAAAATGTTTTTGATACGAACCGAACAAAGTGGAGCTATCGCCAAATTTTTAAATTTAAATGCATCAGTAGAATGGTAAACTTCCGCCAACCTGTATGTTAATTTCATAACTAGATTTTCATGAAAAAAGATATTCAAAGATTGTTAAAATATAATTTACAAAATGGAAACAATCGTCAACTCACTTTGCTCTTTATCTCCTCTCAATTCGGCTCTTTTCTCAGTTTCATAATTTCTTGAAGTTTAGGTGAAACTATGGCCATTTTAGCAGCTTGCTCTATTTTAAAGATTCAAGATTTAGAATTAGTTACCAAGATTGATTAAAACAGATTACAAAACTGACTTTGTGAGAAAACCATGACCGGGGTTAATATGACCCGTCCAACAACCGTAGCGGCAATTATTCCATAAGAGTAAGGCATGTAATTTTCGCAGAATAACAACATACTACAAATCCAACCTGAAAGATGACAGAAAAAACTATTGAATCAAAAATGAAACATGCTGAAAACCTCAAAATACCTGTAGGAAACCAATTAGACATATTAAAAGTCTGAGCAGTGATCGGACCAAGCGGAAGAAGTTCAGGGGGCAAAGGTGGTTCAGGGATAACAAAATCTTTTAGTAAATCCGTTTGCTTAACTGCAGCATCTGAAGCCAGCTTGCGAATAGATTGATTTACACGAGACAATGCATGATTACAGATCAAGGCATCACCAAGTAAAATTTTAGCGGACCTGCCGTTCAAACTAATTGCAGTTTGACCTAGCGAGATAATCCGCCTAGATAACATTTTAAACTAATTTAATCAAAACAATATCACATCAAGCCAGAAAAAATATAAACCACGAGAAGACAACAACAAATCTAAACTAAGGGCATCTTGTGACTTTTAAAACAACTAAAACAAATCTAATGAACGATCCGATGCAATGTCTTATATTTAATTATTTGTAAGTAAACATTGATTTCTTGAACTAATAAAGGTCAGTTTTCTATGAACAGATTAATTGATGGACTTTAGAGACTTCGTGTTTCTCCGTTTTGTTACTTTGTCCTCTGGAGATGAACTTTTCACTGGTTGACACTTGATTGATAAGTGATTTAAAGAGTCATCATTTTTGCCAAGAAACAAATGGAAATAAAATGGATGAAACAAGATGAAATGTGAGTAAGAAATTAACTTTTCGTTAACAATTCTCGCTATTTAATCTAATAAAATAAAAATCGAATCAATGATATTAATTCGGCTTTTATTTGACTTAATTTGATGTAATGACTCATGACGCAATTCAGGTAACCATATCAACAAAAGTAAACAATAAATTAGAGACCAGTTGGTTACTGGTAACCGGTTACTTGGTTAGAGGGGGAAAAAAGTAACCAAGTATGGTTACTATAACCAGTTACTATAACCGGTTACAAAATAACCGGTTACTTGCTGGTTACATGGAGAGGGAAATTTGAAAAGAAAGTAAAGAAAGTAAACAACAGATTTCTAAATACATTAATAGATGGCGCTGATAAAAGATGGAAAATCAAACTTTTCATTTTTGAATTTGGCGGTAAGAAATTTGTAACCAGCAAGTAACCGGTTATTTGTAACTGGGGGTGAAAGAACCACAGTTACTGGTTATACTAACCAAACTAGCCTGTAACCGACGTATCTCTACAATAAATACTAAACCAAAAACCTAACCAATCAAAATTATGCATTCAAAAACCACTAAATTCAAATAAATTTAATAATTGAATCGACTTTGAATATTGTACTGGACATTCTGAGTAGCCCTTGTGAAATATAAAATACCCAAAACTGGCCTTGTTTATCAGTCAACTCATCGTCCAAAAGTGTCTTAAGTATCTCTCAACTGTCTCCCTCTAGTGTTTCCCAATTACTTCATTTGTAAAAGTGAGTTTTGGGTTTCTCTTCCTCTTTTTTCCTTTTTTAAAGTTGGTTTGACAATTAACTTGATCAAATCTCATAGTTCCCATTGATTGGAGGGAAATTTAGAGAGCGCAATTATTTTGTTTAAATCCAAGACAAATAAAGATCGCCATATTTAAGGGACTTAAAAGTATTATCTGGTTATTTTCACAATTTACATTTAGATTGTTTTATCCACTGTTAATCGGCAACCCGGTTAACAGAGAGAAACACACTTCACTTGGGTTTCCCGTTAATTCGACAAGGAAAAACAAATAAAACAAAAGTAATTCACATTTCTTTTTCAATCTGTTCATTTCTTGAAATACTGAATATGCTAACTGATCATAAGCAACATGTTCGACTGTTTAAGTTTAATCAAATGTTTACTGGTTTCATGAGTTTGGTTATTGATTTGCTATCACAAGAAATTGCGATCTGTTGTTTGAAATTCAGCTTTTCAGCAATTCAAGTTTGAGTCAGCTTCTCAATAGTTATTGAAACCTCTGTTTAACTGTTAGTCATATAAGTAACAACCTAAATCGTCATTCGAAATATCCTCTTTTGTTCTCATTGAAACTAATTTTTCTTTTCTTTTCTTTTCCCACCAGTGGAGCCTCATCGATCGTACAACAATCCCAGCAGTTCAACATCGGATAATTTATCTGCCACTAATCAGCTCGCTAACATCACTCCAAAAGAAGAGCCTGTGTCTCCTCCCGCATCTCCTAATCGCAACTATCGACGAGGACCTATTATTGTCTATGGTGGTGGCTTGAAATGGAACTTTCCAGTCCGTTCTGACATTGATTCTCCTCCTGTTTCAAATGGCACCAACAATCCTGTTACTGGTTCAACTCCTCATTCACCCACTCAGTCAACGAGTTCAGTGCCTGACCAAAACCTGGTTCCAGTTAACGCTGTTTCATCATCAGAAGCTACTTCTGTTCCTTTGACAAAAAACCAAAAACTTAGGCTCAAAAGAAAGTTGTTCTTGCAGAAGCGAAGACAAATTGCAGAGGAAACTGGCATTATCTGTCCAGTTGAGCAAAGATACTTGCTGAAACAACAACTAAATGCTGAAAAAAGAGCTAAACTCTTCTATCAAAAAGGTATGGAAGAAGCGATCGCTGTTCAAGAAAAATTAAAAGATGTAGATATCAAGCCTTTCGCCATAAAACAGGAGCTTCAAGGAGACACTGAGATCCAGGATGCGTTTCAAAAATGCAACGAATTTTTATCTCGCGCTGAAAGTATCGCATATTTTGCTTTAAAATTCAATAAAATGCGAGCATCATCAGACCCATGTAATGTCCCACCTCTTGGACCTGAAATTGATTCCCCTAAAGATTATTTGGAGAAAGTTATCTTGAATAAAACTGAATAGAAAACAATAAAATTGCCATTTTTTAAACTAATTCAAATTTCGACTCTAATATTCTGTTTAAACAATGAAACACGATTTTTACGCGTAGGCTCAATAGATTATCAGTTTTAATATCAGTCAAACTCAGGTCAGATTGTATGAAAACAGTTATTTTCAAGTCTAACTGCAATCCAGGAAAATAATGAATAATACAAAAACATATTGAAAGCTTCAACAATTTACTTATTTACAGTGACAGATGACAATTGAATGTTACAGGTGAAGCACTTTTAATGTAAAAGAAACAATAATATTACAATAACAATAACTTAATAGCAATACATGGCAATAAGTAGCTATAATTATGAGAATGTATTTTGATCGTGAATGGTTGTAACACATTATTGTTGTCAACTTTGCTGAACCATTTGAACGGCTGTGAAACATTTTTGAAGATAAGTTTCAACCAACAAGTAAAAGTGTAACTTTGATTGTGACAGTTTATGATCATCATCAGGATAAACTTGAATCTGATAATTAATGGTTCCTTTGGAGACTTCCTTAATCAACGATTTGGTCAGCAACATTGTATGTTGAATATGAACAAACTCTGTAAAATAGAGAAAACAAAGAAAATGAAAAATTCAATTAAACACTCAATTTGAATGTTGTCTTTTTGTATAAAAAGCTAGTTCTTTGTTAAAGGCTGTCTGATTGTTCAGATGTTGGCTCATTGATTGATCAACAATCAAAGTCAACAGGTATTAATAAAGTCAACATTTGAATCTATTTGATTGTAATCTCAATATCGACACATTGCTACATTATAATGTATTGATAGGGAAAATAGTGAAACAATTATCCAGACTAATAATGTTATTGTGAATACGATATTAGATTTTTGGTTTTCTGTATTTCGTTTCATCTGTTTTGGCTTATTTTAGCTTATTAATCAATTACCATTTGCAGTTCCATGAGCAATGAGGAATCGCTTGTTAACCAATTCATCAGTTTTGAGAAATAAATTATTCAGATCATAATTTGAATTGTATTGATGAGCACTTGGATTACCAAATAAGTATTCAGCTGAAAGAGCATCTATAATGAAATTAGGCGGAATAAAAGAGAATCAATTAATAGTGTAAAGCAATTAAAATATGTGTGTATATAAAGATTAAGCATTAACCAAATTTTGATTGATTAACTCTTGACAGTCAATTTGATTACCATTAGCAGGTTAATAATGAATGCAAATGTACATTATGCATGTATAAAAAACTCAACTAATGATTGATGCAAAGACAAATGAAACTAAACATTTTTTGCACAATCAATACACAATTTAGCGTCAACATTAATCAATTTACACTTATCAACCATTTTATTATAATAACCATTATGAGCCATTAATTTAATCAAATGTTTCAAAGAGCGAGAGAGATAATTAAATAGACTGGAGTAAGAAGCAAATCAAGTTAAACCTCAAACCCAAACCTGAAACAACCCAATATTAACCAAAAGTTGATTATAACCAGCTTTAAACTAATAGTCAAATGTAAGATCATTGAAGTCAAGTCAGTCATTGAAATATTGTCACGACTTTAACCCAATAAGACTCAGTTTTTTGTGCAGCAAGATGAGTCCATTTAGGTTGTCTAGAGTCTGGTGAAGGGTGGACCGATCAACATTAGTAAATGAAAAGAGATCAAATAAAGTTTAGATTCAACTTATTTTTGAAACATTTTGATTCAGTTTGATTCCGTCAGAATGATGCAGAGTGATGATCCGATAATGCCTTCTAAATCCTTGAATCAAGTCTGTTAAAGCAACTGATTGAGCATGAAAAGATGAGCATTAATTTAACTGTTGGTGATAACCTTCCCTGCGATGAAGTCCAAGTGACCAAAAATTATCTCAACGAAAAAAAGACAACAAAGTTTATCTTTATCACCACCATTCATTGCCAGCATCATCTTGTTCATCTGTCCATCTAATACATTAACTCACTCTTGGTTGAACCCAATTCTTCCGAATCAATCATTTTGCTTGAAAAATAATTTTCACACATTACTTGAGACACAAAAATGCACAATTGATTGAGCAAGTTCATTGAAGGATGATAATAATGATAACAAGAAATGAGCAAAAAGGATTATCATCATCATTACCAGCAGCCACATCATCATTATCATGAGTGAACAAAAAGTGAACAAATTGAAGAGTAAAAAAAAGCGTCGAAAGAATCAACTTAATAATCATTTTAGGTTTAAAATAATCCAGAATTCAATTTTTCTCCTCGAATCAAATTAATGACCAAAAAACTATCACTCTAATTACTTCAATTTAATAATTGAAGAAAACACAAATAACGAGAAAAGTTAATCTTTTAAACTGTCAACTTGATTAGGATATGTTAACCATTTGTATTGATTAAAGCAATTTGAAAAGTAGTGAAAGTCACTTTTAAAGGAACCAGAAAAAAAGTTTCGCTTTTTTACCAGTTCGTTGACAGAATTGATAAACTGATTCTTTGTCTGCCCTCAAATGTTGACCATTAATCTTGCCTTTAATTCAATAAGAATGAAAAAAAGGTCAAATGAATAAGAGAAGAAAAAATATCCGAATGAAATAATAAATTAGTCAATTACTTTGAGCAACATGAAATGAATCAAGAGCAACTTGTTTTAATAACGAAACATTTAAAGGTTTAAAGTTGAATGAAGTATCAACTGATTGTATCATCGACAGTGAAGAGACAAATTTCCAACATGGAATGGAAAAAATCACTAAAAATGTCTCGATTATCACGATGACCATAAATGGGTTTCCCTGATATTGACTCGATACAAGCTGGTATCGAATTTCCGAATCATATTTACTCAGAAAGGGAATGAAAAGATATCAATTGTAATGCGAAAAGATTGAGCTCAAGTTTTCACTCCCAGTTGAACTAGGAGTTAATGCTAAAAGCCAAAGGGCCAACAGTCAGATAATAATCATTTCCCAAGTGTCAGTTGTTATCTTAAAATGTTCCCATCATTATCATCATGAAAGGTTATTTCCTTTTATTCATTACTTTCATTAAGACGGAGAAAAAAAAACTGGAAAAGCCATAAATTGATAAAGAATCAGATTAAATTGAATGCCAATCATTAATATTATTTTTACCTTTTCCTTATCCTTTTCCTTTCAACGCTAATTAACTTGCCAAATATTATCAGGTTAAACAGGTTTATCGAGGCAACTTGATGAACCCATTTCACAGGAGTTTAACCTTTGTTTTGTTTTTCAATAAACAATGATTTATGAAACCATCGAACACTTAATACAATTTTTTTTCATGAAACATTAATCGACACACAAAACTGGACCAAAATGATGGCCACTTTCATCAGATTCAACAATAACTTCAATTGTTGGTTTTCGCTTGAAAAATAAAGAAGTGAAGATTTGGTACTTTTGGCCACTTTTTTCCTCTTCATTTTCCCATTTCTGTTGATAGTTTTTTCTCCCCATTAAAAGCTATTTCCTTTCAGAATCCTTTTCTTTTCTGATAACTCAAAAGATATATTATTATTTATTGATAACATTTCTTTTCAATCATCACTCAATCATTTTCTACTCCCAGTGAACAGAAACAGAAAGCAAAACATGAAACCCAAAATAACCACAGGAACTCGTTTTTTCCTTTTCCTTCTGAATTTCATTGAATCTCTGAAGTTACTTTTTCTCTCTACTGTATTAAAAGCATTCAACATTTCGAGATGTTTACTCTTTACTCAGCAAATTATAAACAATCAACAAATGTAACATCAATTGGTAGCCATCAGTTTCCACCAATTAATTGAATTGCTAAATTGATTTCAATTGTTTCAAAAACTCATTCAATGATCGACTCAAAACTTGATGAGATTTGAAGGTTGATGGAAAACTTGAATTGGAACATCTTGAAATCGAAAATGATGAATTCTAAAAGACCTTGGATTAGGAAACATTTCTGGATATTGACCTTTGGTTTGGCTTATTTTTCCAATCATGAATTCAGATTTGACATTCTTTGATTTGAGCATCAACTTGATCAGTGAATGTCAGTTTACTTGATCAATATTCAAAGTTGCTTTTGTCGAGCAAATTGTATTCAATATTATTGTGATATTGATTGAAATACCAATTATTGCATCAATAATACAGAGAAAAGATTTTGCTATTCATGTCAATCTAAAGGAACGAAAAGAAAAGTGAAACTGGCAGGGGATTTCAATGGTTTCTCATCTTAATGTGATTCAATTAATTTTGATTGTTTCTCTCAATCCAATTGTCTGTTAATAATTAATGTTGATATTGATTTGATGGATCGTGTTATTAATGTTGATTAATGTTGCGACTATTTTTGTTTCTTGTTGGAATCGACACTAAATTTGGCTTTGCTTGAGATTTGGTTAAAATGGTGAAAACAATTGATTTACCCATTAGTCTCCAATCCACAATGGGTGACTGACCAATGGTACAACCAATTAAACCATTCTTGTCCTGTGAGATTGTCTCTAGTGCAGTAAAGGCTGAACTGGCTGAGCCCCAAAGAGCCACTCTGCTTCGATCAATGTTACCCAAAAGCGAATCAATTAGATCAATGATAGCCAATTGATGATCGTAATTGACTTTTGACCAGCGATAGTCACGCGAAGTTTCCTTTGGATTAATCTCATGTAACTCTAATTGAACATAAACATATTCCTTTGAACTTGACAGATAATGGCCCCAATTGAGGTTAAATTTTTCACTTAAAATAAGGTCAACCATTGGAAATCTGTTTGTGAGAGAAATAAGGATTTAAATTGCAATTCGATATGAAGGGTAAAAAACTTACGATTCTATGACTAAAGGATAGCGAATTGCTTCCTCTTCTTCTTCATTTAAAACTTCCAAATGTTTCCTTGGAGGTGGAACAAGAACTTTAATGTTCAATCCTGAATAAGAAAATTGAATTGGGAAAACCTTTTAAAACTAATGTTCAACTTATTGAGTTTGTCAAGTTTCACATTCTTCATTTTACATTAATATTTTGACAAGAAATGAGTAAACCTGGAAAACAAGTAAATCAATTCAGACATTATCCTCATTCATTTACTTCTAATAAACAACTCTGAAAATGAAATCTTTCTCTCATCAGTTTTCCATGTTAATATTAGAGCAACTGACAACAGATTTGATCTTAAACTCTGCACACAGCCATGGTCAACATGATGAACTTACTTCTTGAATCATTGTCAATTGGAAGTGTTAAGTACATTTCACTAGGCATTCGTTTGTCCATTAAAATCTCTTCAAATTGTTTATTATCTGCAATTGTCCAAACTGTGAAAGAAGAAGAATTTTAAAGTTTATTTTGTTCAATTTATAATCAACTAAATATGCAAAGTTGGTGGAAATAGTGAAAAACAAAATCTAAATAAACTGAATAAAATGAAATATGAGGTAAAAGAAGATGATTCAATGTAAAAAATGGAAACATTGAAAAGGATAAAAGGCTAAAGGAATATTAATCACTCCCAGTGGATAAATTATGATAGAGTAATAGACGGTAAAACCTTGATTAATATTTGATTGTTGAAATTAATCTGCTTACCATGAGTGTGATTAACTGTTGAATAAATTGAAGTAAATACTTTTCTTGGTCCGAGGCACCTTAAAATATAATATTCTGTTGTTGGGCTAAAATAAGCTTCATAATAACCGCATCTGGAGGTTAGGTTACAAGTAATACAATGGGGTAACCCTGTTGTACCATTGGCTAAGCTCAACGAGTAAAGATGACTTTGAGCCGGTTTATCAATTCCAGTTGCTTCAAAGTAAATTACATCTTCAGTTGTTTGGTAAGAAAGCAATCTCTTGACATCATAACGTCCATGGGTTAAAAAGTTTCCCACCAAATTAAAATATTTATCCTGAAAAAGAAAAGAACAAAAATGGGAAATTTAATTTTCTAAATTTTAGATTCAATTAATCACAAAACACTCTTGAGTTAGACAATTTAGTCTCAAAGTTTCCTCTATTCAGATTGAAATTGATTCAGTATTGTAATTGGGTTAACAATTTCATGATTGTTCCAATTTGGAGTTTCTTTTTGTTCGTTTCAATTCTTGATTCAATTTTGTACAATTGAAACTATTTAATGAAACTGAAATGCTATCAATTTGATTATATTGAACAATGTTGCAGGAACAATTAGTATGATAATGATGAGATGAAAGGATTGCTGATGAGGATTGTATCATTGATGTTCAATGTTGATTGGAAATGCAAACGGAAGTTAATAGTTGACTAAAAACGGAAGGTAATTCCTATTAACTAGACTTCAATTGTTATGAAATGATTAAATGAAGACAAAGTGTTTCCATCAAAGTAAACACTTGATTAAATGAAACAAATGATATTGTCGCAAGTAAAAGCCCAATCTTTCAATAGGAAACAGTAAAAAAGCTGAACAATTAGCTTCGTTCATTGATGAAGATGAAGTAAATGTTTCATTGTTGTCAACCTTTTCAATTAATAGATCAATTGGATTCTTTTACCTTCTCAATTACCAATTCATTAATGGTTAACAATGAAGCAATTACAATGAAAGAAATTAGTTTTTCCTGATTAATAAACTTCTGTTTAGTATTCCATTCAAGTGAAATGTTTATTACAATCAAATCAACTTTAATTGCTCAATCGATTGAGACATTTTTGTCCATTTTGTTTGAACAAACCGTTTGATGAGCAAAATGTTTCTTCAGTTTTCCCATGAAAAATGGATTGAAAGATTGAAAAGATATTGATGGACATTCGAGGACTTACTTGAGGATTAAAATGAGCTATATGATGATATTGTCCAACCTTGAGGTCAGGCTTGGGAGTAATGATGAAATGTTTGGATGGATTGTCACGAGTTAATATTGATTGACCGAGATATTTAACTTTATTAATACTGTCACTGATAACGTTGGACCGTCGACAGGACCAGTTATCGTTAGCTGAACAATTGACTAACAGGGAATAATTTTGACTTCGAAAGGTCCAAACAACGATCACGGTTGACGGGTCACTCCAAGCAACGTAAGTTAAATATTTATCTTTACCAACCAGTTCGTTTGGTTCGTTTAGTTTTCGAAGTGAGCGGTTTGGATCGTTAAACTTGGTAAACCAAAGAGTAACCGTTGGTATTGCTCGACCAGCCTATCGATGAATAAAATGAGAAAACGATTAGAACGAAGCATAAAAACTCGAATATTAACTTTATTCGTCACTCAGCGCTAACTCACGACGAAATTCAAATCTAACAAAATCTAGAATTTTTCGAATCTAGAAATAAACCATTTTCTCAATTGGATCAAGAGATCCCTACAGACAGAATTTATTATATCTTCAAAATCAATCGAAACAAATTTCCAAAATAAAATTTCGAATTCGTTACAAGAAATTTTCTGCTTCTCCTTAAACATCAACTTGTAAATTCATTTTCATCAATCCTATTGAATTGAAAAAAGGAAAATTTTAAATGATAAAACGATTGAAAACTCGAATATAAACTTCATTAGTTCAAAAACTCGAGAATTCCGGACGAAATTTAAATCCCTCGAAATCTAGAGTCGAAACGCAATAAATCTTTTTTGAATGAACAGAGACGGAATTTCTTTGAAATCAATTGGAATTTCGTAAATAAAGTTTCGAATAATTTGAATATCAAATTCGTTTCAAGCAGTCGCGATTGGATCTTCGACTTGTTAATTTTCATCGATTGTTATGATTAACGGAATCGCATGAAAAGAGACGAAAAATTTGCATTCAATTGAAATACGAAAATGATCATTTGCACATTTCCTACGGACATTTGAAATTTATTTTCATTACGAGATAGTCAAGATGAGACGCCTCGAGGTTGCTTTTATTGACATTGTTTTTACTTTCATGACAATAGCAGTGAACCAATTGATTACTCTTCGAGTTTGCCATCATGTTCAACATTTTCACCTTTTGCATTCTTCCAATCGTAATAACAAGCAACTTGGATCACCTGAAATGAATTTTATTTTCCAGGCAAAAGACAAATGGCGTAAAAATGAAGCTGACTCAATGACTCTGGGAGTGAAAACAAACAAGTGATAAAATTTGATGGATAAACTGATCACAGGGTTGTAAGTCTAAATAGACAGAGAAGTAATAATGATTGAGAAAGGTGACAAAGGAGGACAACAGAATGAAAGAACAATAAATAACAGACTTTTCTATTGAATTGACAGAATTGGCTGAAATATTGGTTACAGAACTCAGATAAAAATAGAAGAACAAGAAAAAATCGAGTTTCGAGTTTTACTCTCTTTTTTTGTTCCTTTCGTTTGTTTGCATTTTTATTGTCTCATTTTTACTTGCTGTCTGTTCACTGTCAGTGATAACTGTTAGTTGTTTATTTTATCACCAAAGAGGATTAACCATGAACACGATGAAACAAGAGTTGAAACATATTTCAGATAACGTTCATTGAATACTAAAAACTTTTCACAGACGTCAATGAAGTTCAAATTAGAATTGAATTTTCATTGCAACTTGGTTGATTGAGGAAATTTATTTTGCAAAAATTTATCACAAAACTCATTCTACCATTCAATTTCAATTCGTTTTTTTTACAATATTCAATATTCTCTGGGATTCAATTTGATTTGTTTATCGATTTTTACTCTCTAAATGTCCAGGTCAGATCGATAGTCTTGATTCATACATTTTGATTAAGGAAATGAAAGAAGAAAAATATTGAACATTTCGTTTCTCAACTATTTTGGATTGTTGAAATGAAGAGTGAAAAGTTGAGCAAAATAAATGGAAAATGAAATGTTGGCAAAAAACTGTTCCGATTGAGAAGGTTTGAGAATTCAATATTTTTTCTTCTTCTCTCATGAAAATGAAAGAAAAGAAATTGTCTAACTCAGTTAGATTCAATGGAAATTCAGGCAAGAATATAAGATTGACAAGAAAATTAAATTATTTATCCTTGAATGTGAATTGAATTGATTAATTTCATTATTCTTTATTATCATTGTAATCATAATCAATCATTTTCATTGTGATTATCATTTTAAATGCAAATGAATCGTTTGATAGGGAAAAAAGGTAAAAATTCAATTAGAAAAAGAAAATAATCTAAAATCGATTCTTAATTCCATGGTTACCTTAGCATAATAGATGGAGTTGGATACAGGGAAGGAAGGTAAAGGATGAGGCCAAAGTGAGGAATAAGTCATTTCCATCAGTTTGATATTACCATGAAAATGTCAAACAATCAAGACTAACAAGTTATCTGCTAAAAATAATAATAAACTGATAGAATGCTCAATGAATCTTGTTTTATCTGAAACAAAAAATGCTCATTACATCCTGTCTACATGGTAAAGGTGATGAAAAAATGAAGACAATTCATTTTGACAGGAACACAATTTTGATAACAGAAAAAAGCACGTTTTAAACAAACTGAGTTTTCCTTTGAAAAAGGGCAGTTTTTCATCAAAGATAAAGTTGATTACAATGTGTTACAAGTTGTAAACAAAATCATTCAAAATTCACTAACTCAACCTTTGACTTACTGAAGTCTAACAGTCCATCAAAGGTGAACTTCGAGTTGAGTTGAATGTGGCTGAAATTTTCAATGAATCACAATGAATTTCGATGCAAAACTAAACATTTTTTCAATGAATAATTTTGTCAAATTGGTTGCCTGATTGTTAAGCCTCTTTCGAGACTTGCTGAGTGTTGTCAAGTGACAATTTAGAAAACAGAATTTTTGGAAAATCGTTAGTTTGAGAAACTGGAAATGAGCTGAACCTCAAAACTATCGATCAGCAATCAGGATTAATAACTGCAGTGCGAATTGCAAACGTGAAACTTCGAAGCGAGATATTCGTCTTGCATCGTCTTTCGATTGAGAACAAAAACTATCTGAATATGAGTTTAGCTGTAATTAGATCTTTTTGACTCTAGTTTTTGAGTTGCACATAATTATGTCCACGATATGGATAGACGATAACCAAATGTGATTGATTATATTGATAGACGTAATCGAGGCTTGATAAGCGCAAAACGAAAAAATATTTTGATTAAGAGACTTACCTTTGGATATCTTTGATAAATCACTTGCGGTGGCGAATCTAATTCACTTTTAGATTCATAAAGATTACCGTAAATATTAATTGGACTGAGATCAACTAAGGTATCATTGAAAGTTGCATAGATCAACGAGTTACCATCTTTAGATAACCAAAAAGCCTCAGTTAAACCTAAAAACTCTGTTTAACCCAAAAAAGGGGGAAAACATAAATTGAGTTAATACAAAGAAAAGACACAAAACCTGACAGACTTACCTTTGTAAAACCAATCAGGTAAACCATTGTAGATGGCAAGTTTACTTCCAGTTTGAGTTAAACGTACAGGCTCTTTATCAATAGACGGGCAGTAATATATATCATTGTTGTAGATGAAAACCTGTTGAAACAATTAAAAGCTTTAATTCAAGTGGTTGACTCAAAACAAATTGAACAAAAAGACTATCTTTTCCCACTTAAAACCTTTGACAGTTTCAAAATTGTTTTAAATATTTCCTTAATTCGTATCAATAATATATTAAAATCTTATATTTTAAATTGTTTAATCTACAAACACTTTGTAAATGATATTTCAAAGTGTTTGCCTTTCAATTAAAAACAATTGTTGACATTTCTCAAGTGAATTTCAAGTCTTTTCAATTGCTTGCAAAAGATTGTTTTGAGTTGAATCTTAAATTAAACAGTTTTATCCTTTTTTGTTCAGTCAGATATGAAAATTGGTTTTAGATGTTCATTTCAAATTCATTCATAATATATTTCATATCATTCTTTACCTTCATGATTGGTTTAGCAAGATCGATATCATTTGAAAAAAAACAAAAGATTTACCATTCGCTTTGCTTTGAATTCCTGCTGTTATGTAATAACATTTGATAATGAAAAACAATATTTCAATGAACATTACAACATTGAAAAATATCATTACTTGTCATTGATATTACTCCTGATGCAAGATTTACTAGAATTATTTTGTTTCATCATTCACTTGGTTCAATATTCCTTGGCAACCATTAGATAAGAACGACAAGGAAGATGCTGAGGAATGGAGAAAATGAAGCAAATTTTTACCTTTCCTTTGGTAATCAATTTATAAGTGAACCTCAAATCATATGCATTTACTTGATACAGAAATCATTTTGGATAAAGGATTAAATTGTTTCCATTTCTTTTTTCCATTTTTCTTTTCAAGATATTTTCAGCCAATTTTACTCTTCTTTACCTTGTTAAGAGGAAAATGTTTTTCATGGTTTATCCATAAAATAAATATAATATTTACTCTTCAAACTGAATCACTTTCATAGGAAACTGATTTGTTACCCAACAGTGTAGGCAGAAAGCAATGGAAAAAGCCTTTTACAGTAAAAAACTTGAACCAATTTTTTATTCAATTTCACCAATCATTCCTAACAAACTGTATTAACTCTCAAAGTTTAACCAATTTGACTTAAGCTTTGGAGTCATCGAGTTATTTTCAATTATTAATGTGTTGAGATAACATTTGAAACTGAGATCAAACAGTTTATTTTGATGCGTTAAGAGTTATTTAAACAACTGCCACAAGCAGTTATGAGATTTAAAACACGAGGGCGGAGCCCGAGTGAATTTTATCTCATAACTGCGAGGGGCAGTTGTTTAAAAAATTTACGTAACGATGTTCACTCAAATAAGCCGAAGAGAGAGAGAAATGAAAGAGAAGAAAGATTAAGAGAGATAAGGTGAAGAAAGATAAGGATAAGAGAGAAGATAGAGAGTGAAAAGAGAATGAAAGAGAAGAGAAAGAGATGGAAGAACAAGAAAAAGAAAATAACTCTCAAAGTTTAACCAATTTGACTTAAGCTTTGGAGTCATCGAGTTATTTTCAATTATTAATGTGTTGAGATAACATTTGAAACTGAGATCAAACAGTTTATTTTGATGCGTTAAGTTAATTTAATGCTAATAAATCTTCATTTCATCAATCTCGAGTGACGAGATATTTCAGCCCTTTGCACCTTTATCAAGATCTATGCTATTAACCTGATATTAACATGATGGACTGAGATGGAAGATACAAAATTCCGAGAATTCGATATCGTTGCAAAGGTGATTGAATGGTTGGAGAATGTCTTTGGGTCAAGTTGATTAAAGTTTATCGAGGAAAGAAAAAATTGTCAAATTGTAATCTTGATGATGAAAATATTTGCTCGAGGAAAAGTGTCATTGCTTGTTGTCAACAATTAATTGAAATGTTACTTTCTTTGTTGCTCTTTGAGAAAAGGTTCAACCTCAATGTTCATGTACTTGGTTACAGATTGTAATAGATGATAGTTGGTGAAAAGATATGAAGTGAAACTTGTTCATATAGTCTTTCATTTCTTTGCTGTAAAGGAATCTTCTTTTTCCTTCTCTTCATAATCATCATGAGAGGAAAGAGGAAAAAAATGTGAATTGCCTTAAGGTTTAAGCAGAAAAGTAAAATTAAATGCAATAATAGTGTCGATAAAAGGTTTTTGATATTGTATTTCAAGCGATTCCTTTTCATATTCATTCAGAACTTGAGAAACCTTTACTCTAGTTTTTATAATTGCATGAGAAAATGAGAGGAAAATGAGAAGAATCAGAATTAATGCATAATAAAAATATCTTGTTCTCTAAAAGATTCAGGTTACATTAACAAACATTCACTGTTGAAAATGCCATGCATGGTGGAATGAGGTGAAATCGTGCTAATTCAAGGGAATAGGTTAAGTAATGGTAAGCAGATGCTTGCAATTGTAAAATGTTTATTAGGATCAAATCAAAAACCTTCAAATGTTATCACTATATATACATTTAATTCAGATCTCAACACTTTTACAATTGAAATGCAGCATAAATCGATGATGTATTAATACATTAAGATATAAACAAGAATTGAAAGAATCGGATAGAGAATTTAACACAGCAACAAAAACAAAAGATCTGCAAGGAGAACCTCGAACGCTTACAAAAATAATGCCAACAAACAGAAAACTTAACGAAAAGCACCAGAGACCTTTATATAATTTATATCAATTATTGTATCGTTAATTTCAATGCTAACATTTTCTTGAAAAATAAGTCTCTTTTTGTTGATAATTTGTTCTGCGCTTTTGAACCTAAACCCTCACTCGCCCTTCCCCTTTGTAATTCAAAAAATATAACCAGAACGGACAAATAGACCATAACAGAAATATGGCCCAGTTTGCACACGATGTTCCAGAAAATTAAAAAATAAATACATCGGTTTCACTTTTTATAATGAATTTATTCGTTTGCAAATAGAAAATACATGGAATTTTAGATAAATTTAAGTCAAAATAGAAAATGTTTGCGCTAATAAATCACAACTAACAGAGGTTAATTAAGCGACTGAAAATTTGATTTCAGATCCGATACGTTAAAGAGCTACTGTGATCTCAGATCACAACTAACAGGGGTTAATAAAACGACTTAAAATTTGGATCTCAGATCCAATACGTTAAAGGGCTACTGTGATCTCAGATCACAACTAACAGGGGTTAATAAAGCGACTGAAAATTTGGATCTCAGATCCGATACGTTAGGGGGCTACTGTGATCTCAGATCACAACAAACGGGGGCTAATAAAACGACTTAAAATTTGGATCTCAGATCCAATACGTTAAAGGGCTACTGTGATCTCAGATCACAACTAACAGGGGTTAATAAAACGACTTAAAATTTGGATCTCAGATCCAATACGTTGGAGGGCTACTGTGATCTCAGATCACAACAAACAGGGTTAATAAAACGACTTAAAATTTGGATCTCAGATCCAATACGTTAAAGTGCTACTGTGATCTCAGATCACAACTAACAGAGGTTAATTAAGCGACTGTAAATTTGGATCTCAGATCCGATACGTTAAAGGGCTACTGTGATCTCAGATCACAACTAACAGGGGTTAATAAAACGACTTAAAATTTGGATCTCAGATCCAATACGTTAAAGGGCTACTGTGATCTCAGATCACAACTAACAGGGGTTAATAAAACGACTTAAAATTTGGATCTCAGATCCAATACGTTAAAGGGCTACTGTGATCTCAGATCACAACTAACAGGGGTTAATAAAACGACTTAAAATTTGGATCTCAGATTCAATACGTTTAAGGGCTACTGTGATCTCGGATCACAACTAACAGGGGTTAATAAAACGACTTAAAATTTGGATCTCAGATTCAATACGTTTAAGGGCTACTGTGATCTCGGATCACAACTAACAGGGGTTAATAAAACGACTTAAAATTTTGATAATAGAGGATACGTTAGGTGTTGCCAGTAGATTTCACATCTATAGCTTTCGGTAAACGAGTTGTACTACGCTTATTGATGGAAATCCATAGCATCAGCAAATTTGTTGGGGCAATGTTTTATCGAACATATACCAGTAATAATCAAGGCATTTTTTAGCTGGTATACAGGGTATGAAAAATTCGCCAACATCTCTATACATCTGTATATGAATCTTGAGATCTCATCGGTAATTAGTTATTAAAGGCAACATTGAACTTTTGATACTGAAAGATGCAGCACAAATGAAAGAGTTACAAAAACAACCAAAAAATATAAGAATATGTGTTTAGGTAAAAACAGCAAACAAAATAAACAATGCCTGAAATTTCAAACCTTTTTCAGCATGCGCCATTTGTGCTTATAATTGGCAGTAAATTTGAAAGACAATTAATGTGTTTGCCCTTCATTCAAGATTTTTTTCTGTGAAAATGAACTTGATACCTGCAGACAAAAATGTATGCAAAAAATACAGGCTGAAATGTTTGTGGCGGACACATAGTTCAACCTAAACACGAAGCCTAAATGTTTACCAAGACAAATCAAATTTTGTACCCTTTCAATGGATAGCCTTTTCGTTAGTTCAATTTGTTCATTTAAATTTGATTTTAAATAATAAAAGGTGTTACAAAATACTTACATATGCGTTTCCAATTTTTGACCAACTTGCATACTGAATTATCAAAGGTTTACTTTGAATAAAGGGTTGAATGATTTCCTCTAAAGGTATTAACTTTCTATTAAAAGACGAAACAACTGTTAGTTCAACGATAAACGATGCATTGAAACTTACTTTGAATTTATATTGTAAATTTTATAATTTACTTTGCTGGAAGAATTATTAATCTGAAACAGGAGAAAATAGATTGAATTTACTTTTAAAACGTTGATTTGGTTGCAAGAAAATTAATCACTCACCTCAGGTTGATCAATTTCAAGAAGCAAATATCTTCGATCAGGTGATAATATAAATCTATGGACGTTGTATTGACTCTGTTTGATGAAAAGTGTAATGAAATGTGTGAGTGTGATAAATAGTCAATTTCAATATAAAAATTGCATTATTTAACTTACAATCTTTGAGCTTGGTAATAAAGTGAGAGTTGAAATATTTTGAGAAGCATCATAAATCACAATGGAACCTTCAGAGTCTTGATAAATTAATTCACTGGCTGTTGATTAAATAAGGCAGAAGAAGAAAAAGGAAAAAAGATATTCAAAACATTAATCAGTTGATTGAACAGCATCAAGATTAACTTTAATCCAGCATAAAATTAATACTGTTGAACGTGAAATGAAAACTGAACCCATAGTTTAAAATATTCACTTGCACTTAAAATTTGGTTAAATTTTCTTTAATTGTTAAAAATCTTGATGAAATCATCAAAGATTCACTTGTTAACCATTCATGTTAAAATGTAAACAAAGACTGTTGAGGGACTATTGAATAATTTACTGTAAGTTGAACCCAAATTAATTATCTCGAGACAAAAAAATCTGATTGAAAAAATGATTCTTTTAGATTCCTTTCGAATACAATTTCAAGTTCAAAAATTTCATTACTTTCAATTCATGAATTTTCATTTCCTCTTCAGATTCTATATTTAGACATTTTTCACATTTCGATTGCTACTTGAACCTGTTTTAAATTTCGATTTTATTTGTCTCTATTTTGAGCCTTGATTTCAATTTTTGAGTTCAATTTTCGAGTTTACATTCGACTATATTTTTCTTCTGGATTAGTGCGTGTCATTACCTGTTATCCATGAACATTTTACATGATTAGGCTTTAGATGCGGACCTATCAGGTCTGTCAGGTTTATCCGGAATCGACCCCAATCTTCATCACTAGTCTCTGAACAATTTAGGTTTTTCCATGAAGATTATCGTTTGGCACGCAAGTTAGTTGATTATCAATGAATCCCAAGTAAACAATTATTGCAAAAAGTTGACATGAAACATAAAAAAATAGAAAAGGCGAGTTAAAAGAAGAAATGAGTTTTTGAGGAATAGGAAATGTCCATCTCGATTAACCATTATTACTAATAATATTGGACTATAAAAGCTGGTTGAACTTGAGGACATTTGGTTTGACAATCGAGTTATTATCTTGTCACAAAAACTGGTTCAATATTGTTTATAATTGACCTTAAAGTGAATAAGTTGAACAGTTGAAAAGAGATATTAATCAACAAGTAAACACTCCAAGTTGCTACATTTAGTTTGAAGTAGCAAGAAGAAGAGCAATTTATAATTAAATTAAACATTTGCTTCTTTAGGCTCAATTTTGTTTGACTTTCAAGTTAAACCAACAATTGATTAGCAACAGGTAAACTGATTAACTTACTTGGAGTTAAAATGAAAATGGCGAGTCCAATGAAGGAAAATATTGTTACAATCACTACCAATGATATACCAATGCCTTTCCAATTGCGTTCATCAACAACAACAACAACCAATTCCTTAAGGTTTGAATTACGTTCCATCCATGGGTTAATGTATAATAATAGGATGATGACAGAGAGAAGAAGACAACAGATAATTAGTACACCAATTGTGATTGTTGAACAGGTGAACAATTGCAATTGAAATAAAGGTTTTTATTCAAGAGTTTTTCAGGTGTTCTTTTAGGTTAATTGGGTTCTTCAGGGTTAGACAATGAATGTGTGTTTGGGTTGAGTAAATGATTGTTTGAATCAAACTGAATTTTATTGTTTCTGCCTTTAAACTGTTGTTCACTTTCATGTTCACATGTTAATCTGTTAATCTGTAAAATTTTAGGTTTAATTGACATTTGGCTTCGTTTAATATCACTTGCTTTACACATAACAATTGACTTTGAGTCTTTACTTTTGGCTATTCTCAGAGATTTACACTTAAAATTTGTCACAACTCCAATAAATGTTAGATGAAAATCATCATCAGTAGTCACCCTCAGGAGTAAGTAATTTGTTAATTCTTGGCAACTCGTTCAGTAATTCAGCAAAAAATTGTTCTTTCAGTTCAACAGTCTAACCTTGCTTGTCAGTTGTTTTAGTCTTGTATCCAACGTTTATGAATTAAATAAAATTGAATAGCTTTGAGTTTATCTTCGTCACAATTAAATGAAAAATATTTATCACAATTCAACAATCAGCTTGAATAACGCGCGTTTGCTTTTTCGCGTCATTGTTAATCACATGTGTTACATAAACCCTTTGTTTCAAGTGATGGCTTTTTGCTAGTTAATGAAGCTGTAAAAATCTCTTAATTATATTGCTCTCTGTTAATTATGTTAATTATACTGTTTATATTTAACTGTTATATTTGTTAATCTGTGCTGTTCACACTTTTACAGATAATTTGAGCAAAAATGTTGTCTAAAGGTTAACCTGATGAGCTTCATTCAATTGAAGCTCACAGCTTCTGCAAACATGTTTAACCGCCTTTACCATAATGTTTGGTGATTGCTGTTGTTTTTAATTAAAACTGGAAACCATCTCTAATCAATGGCAATGGACAGACATTATCCTGTAAGTATTAATGTATCACACCTTTCATGATTAAACAGGCTTTTGTTTGTCACTTTTTTTCTCAATTTTAATGTCTCTCCATTTTCCTTTATGCTTTTTATCCTCGACTGATCAATTTGTGTCGACGTTTGGTCAACTGTTGGACATTTTACAAGCAGTATTTAAGCTATGTTTATCCATTCACTCGTTGAAAGTTAAGCAGTTTGGTTTTTGGGTGGTAATCCCGCTAATTTACAAGGTGATCCTTTTGCCTCAATTCTAATCCTGTCTATCTCTAATTATTAAATTGACTGATTGGACTGGCTGGACTGTTCAAATTGCATTTATTACCAATGGTCTATTTATAAATCAAGTCGATTAATCAATTTTGAAGTCCAACAACTTTGTGCATCCTTGGATCATCAAAATTGCTGGTTGCTGAGTGGAAACAATAATTTGACTGGAACCAAGAGAGGCATAAAAAAGTCAACATGTATGGATTATCGTGATTAAAATTGATCCTGAAATTGATTTATCAATGATGATTGAATATAGTTATGGCTGAGAGAACAGATCAACTCACATTTAAATGACATGAATTTTCCCAATCAAACGTTGAACGTTTTTTATCCTGATAATTTTTTCCTCTTCCTTCACCATATTAATCAAATGTTGTCACATTGATATCTTTAATCTATGCAAAAGTTAACCTCCAATATGAGCATGTTTCAATGTTTGTCAACTCAACTGAAAAGGACTGATGAATGGTGAACAGGAGAAGAAGCAACAAAAAAAGCTTGAAATGAAACCCTTTTTTCATCCATTATTATGATTAAGTCATTAATGAGGATTTTTATTTGTCACTTCTTTGACAGATCTTTTCAGTTTATATTTTCATTGAAAGCATATGAAACAATAGGACCAAGGAGAGAGGCCAAAAAAAGACGAAATAGATTGATAATTGGTAACTTGACTGGATCTGAAATGTTTCCCTTGGACCATTTAATCAATACTTTTATTCTCGAGATTCTTGCAGTCTACAAATTGTTTTCAATCTTAATTAATCGTAACTTGACTTGAATTCATCAACTGGCAATTCCTTGGCAAAGAAAGAAACAAAGAATGGATGAAATACAGCGACAAACAAAAACGTTGAAAGTTAATTATTGTTAATGACGAAAATTTCAATTTCCGTTGAACAAGAAACATGGCAAAGTCAACCTTTCCAAATTAAATTTTAATTAATATTAATCAATATCCTTAAATGCTGACATGGAATGAAAGTTCAATCAATAGTCACATTGATTTGATTTACAGTGAAATTGGAAGCAGCTCAAAATGATCATTCTCAGCATTCATCATTTTTGCTGATCGAAGTCAATGCTTAAAGTTACAATCATCTTGAACCTTGATAACCTCAACCAATTATCGCTGTTAATTACAAAATAATCACTTCAATTGAATATTAATAGAATCGAGTAAAGGAAATGGCAAAAAAGCAATTAATAAGAGCAAAAATGGCACAATTGGAAAGTGAAAGAAAAGCCAGAGTAAATTGTTGATTTTGGATGGATAAATCTATCTTGGATTAAAATTTACTTGTATATGTTTATCATGGAAACAATTGATCGTTTTGATCCCTAATTTGGCTTCATCTTTGTCATGGAACAAGATTGATGAATAAAGCAAATTCAGTTGAATTGAATCAAGTGAAATGAAGTGAACAAGAGAAAGTAAAAGTTGCGAACAAAAAACAAGCACAATTATAAGTCGAAATGGTAAATCGATTGATTGATGAACGTGAAATGGAGAGTCAAAAAATGTTGACATTGATTTATCGAGGAAACATTGGTGATATTTAATCAGGCCAATATTGAATCCCAGATAATCGTGAAATAATGAGAGGAGAATCCAGACAAAAGTCCGTCCAAAATGATGAAGTGAAAATTCCATGTTGTCATGAATGATTGAAAGCAGGCAAAAAAAACAGTCTCGTTTTTGAGAGAAAAAATAAATTGAAATGAAATTCGCAAATCATGAATTCAAAGCCAAAGGAAAGCTCAAAAGTGACTGTCAAACCTTAAACTCAAAACCAAATGTACCCAAGACTAACGACTACTAATGTTAACAATTGCAGTCGGACAAGATTGAATTTAAAAACAATTTACTTGAAAGCTCGCTACACTTCACTCCGAGATTCACAAAAAGTTAAAAGATTGAAAATCCTTTGCCATGTAAATGAAAATGCTGAGAAAAGCTGAAATGGTAGATTGAAATGATTGTAATAAAACAAATTTGGTGACAAGAGAAGGAGAGAAAAAAGAATGAAAATTGAAACATTTTCATTGTGTTTGCTTGATGAAATGAATTAGAGTTTGTTGTCATTATAATAGTTATGAGATGAGGGAAAAAAAGGATTTAACCAAATGAATACATTTTTAATATTGAAAAACTGTTCAGGAATAATAGATTACTTGATGAGAGGGAAAAGACAGTGGAGACTTTGTGATGTGAATAACAATTCTGGATGAATGATCAGAAGATGATGATCATGATGAGATGTAAACCTGAATACTTGAGGAAATCCTTTTCTAGTTGATCGTCAAAATTTTCCTCTTCGATATTATTGATGACCTTCTGTTGGGAGTGAACAATAACAATAACAAAGACTATCAAGATGAGAATCATGATGATTATGATGAACATTTGGGAATCTTTTGGATTCTTCAGAGTTCCTGTTCTCTCTATAAAAGTACAGTCTATTCAATTGAGAAGCATTTTCTCATACCAAATGCATTTCTTTACTAGATATTAATAGAAAAATATTTTGCTCTTTTTTCTCTTTTCCAGTCTTTTTTTTCCTTCTTCATTCATAATTCATTCATTGACCTTGTTTAGGTTACAATCAAAATGCTGTTTTGTAATCAGTTTTGCAAATTGATTTTCATTTACAAATCAATTTCACTTTTGTTTCAACTCGAAACAGTCGACACTTTTATCTTCTGCATTGATTATCAAATCAATATCAAGCTCATTTTTAAGTTCATGATTAATCTTTGATTCAACTTTTCCTGTAAAACCAGATTATTTTGCCTTTCCATGAACACAGTTTTTATCAAATGGAAAATGCTGTTGAGCTGATTTGCAATTAAAAGCAACATGAATTTATAATCAGAATGAAGAGGGAAAATTTTAAGAAGATTATTTTTAAATTGTTGATTGCAAGTGATCATTAAAGGTTAGAGTTTTTCATTACTGGAAAAGTGAAAAATTTTGGGTTTTCTTTTTAACCAAAGTTGAACTTTTCCAGCGAATCAATTGAATCAGAAATTTGTCGAGATTCAAGTTGAACATTTCGTCGTTTCAAGTGTATATTCAATGGTCTTGTTGCACCAATTGAAAGGCAACAATTTGGAAAAGAAGGCGAAAAAAGAGAAACAAAAAAGGATTGAAAGATGAAGAGGCTCTTGATGAAGATGAATGTAAAGATGAGAAGAGTGGAATTTTTTCTTCTTCAAATGATGAGAATGAATTGTATTTCTAGTCAAAGGCGTGGACATGATGGATTGAAGGAGGTAGTCCAGGGAGGGAATGAGACAAGTTGAAAGGAACGGAAGGAAAAAATGAAGAGACGAAAAGAGAAGACCAAGATTAACAAGAATATGGAAAAGTCTTTTGAATGAACTTTTTTTTCTTCGTCTTCTCAACAAACAGATGAAACAAGATGGAATGAATGTGTTCTTTTTCGTGTTTTTTTCCTTCTTTTCTCCCTGATTTGTAAGAGTTCTGTTTCTTCTAACCGACAAGAATGCTTCAGAATCCTTTAGGATGCTGTTGAATCCTTCACAATTCTCGAGTATCGAGAGTTTCACAGCTCATGAAATGCCATTTTACCATTCATTGTTTTACTTTTCCTTCCTCTTGACCAGTTTCATCTTTATTTTCATCTCTTGATGTAATCATAGACTAACTATTACATGGAAAATGAACCATTCCACATGAGATTTGTACTCTCATGAAACCATCTGAGGACACTTTTTCTTCTCTACTCAGAGTTTTAAATTTTCTACCCTTTAACCATAAACTTTGTTCAATTATTGAGTAAATACAGTTGAAGGGAAATGTTCAATTTAATAATTTGTTTTGTCTTGTTTTCACTTTTATCCTCAAAGTTTGTTTGTTTTGAAAAGCTTTTTTGCTTTTGAAGAAGCAAAAAAATTGATGAAATTGAAATGAAAAAGATTGAGTAAAATGATGATGTTGAGTGATGATGAAAAGGCAAATGTGATTTTCATCTTTTTGTTAATCATGTTTACATCATTTTTCTTGCTTTTTTTTCTTGCTGTTGACCTGATTGATGGTTCAATTTTCATGGTAACAATAAATGCATTTGGTTCACTGTGTGGCTTCAATTACAAATGGCTGGTAATTTGATAAAAACTGTGCAAAAGTAAAACTTGTTTACAGATAAATAACCAGGCTAAACAGAGATGAAGCTCATTACATTTTGCCTTTAATGTTGAGACTAATTTTACAATCTAGGGTTTAATCAAAATGAAGAGACTGGTTTGATGAAAAGCGATGAGACAATTTAATCATTGAAAAGTATCGATTTTTGCTTCTCACTCCATTCAACAACAGGTAAAAAAGGTTTTGATTGCGAGTTTAAATGTCCATTTCAAGGTTGGATTCACTTGATTGGCAACCAACAGTTTGTTTTCTCGATCATTCAAAAGGTTATCGCAATAAATAAGAATTTAAAATTGATTAAATTACATGATTCTAGTAGCATTTTCGAGACTCTTTATGTGAAAGGTCAAAAATTGATGTGTCTCAATGGAATTTCCCTGAATTTCATCAAATTTAAAGAAACATTTTCATGGACGAATAAGAATCCTTTTCATGTAAATTTAAATTTAATAAACAAAGTCACACAAATCGACTTCCAATAAGAATCGAATCAAAATTCAATTTCAACAATTCGAACGACTAAATTGCTATGCAAAAAGATTTCACCATTTTCTTGTTTCACCGATTTCTTCTTGGATTTTCAAAAATGCCAAACTTTTATCATTTCACATTTTATCTGAACAAATCGATTGAATTCCCTCTTTTTGAGTTTGGCCTTTTATAGATCGAAACAAGTCATGAAAAGCTTTAGAAACGATTTCCAAGCATTCCGAAATTCGTTCACAATCGAAGGTTCAGCTTCTAAAAGCTGTTTATGGATATTTTTTGCATCAAATGAACGAATGAAGTTCAACAGATTTTTACGAATTGATATCGTTTTCGAAATTGTTTGAACAGAACTTTTTACTCTTTGATCATCAATGACCCATTTCTTGAAGTTGACTTTTTTCCCCAAAATTAATTCTTTCATTGATTTTTTAAAGTTTGATTTATCCGATTCTTTCAACACTTTAATCATTTAATCCGATTGAAAGTCAATCAAACTTGAGCTTAGCATTTTCATGAGTCGATCTTTGGAAAGCTATTAAAAATCAATTTGATTGCAAAAAACAACTTTTCAACACAAAATAAATACTTTCAATAAAATGGGCTCAATATTTACATTAAGTTGTCATTCAGGAAACAAATGTTCAACTTTTTTTTCCTCATTTCAAAATCTACTTTCAAATGAACATTGAAATGGGATTTAGTCAGTGTATTTATGTTTATAAATGTTTGTTGTTGCTGGAAACATCAAAGTTTTGGATGCACTTTTGATCAGCAAAAAAAGATGAACATTATTAATATAAATCTCTTTCTCTTTCTTATCTTTCTATTTACCTAACTTTATTACCATTACTATACACTTTTGCCGTTCTCATTTCATCCAATTGCCTATTTCCATTGAATAAAACTATAATTCCAAGCAGAACTCCCATGACCCCAAACTGAATAAATATCGTATATCACATTACTTATCAATAATGATTATGATTATCTTGCTTTTAACTATTCAGTTTTTACTGATAACCAGGGAACAAGAAAAAAAGAACATTATGGTTAAGAAAAGAAAAGAACCCTGACTTTACCATGAAATGGAAGAGAGGAAAAAGAAAAACATTCGTATTCTGCTGATGCTGATGATGCATGTATTACAATTTACACAGATAAATGTATAAAGTTGAACGATCAAGTTACAATTTCCTTCCTAATTAATCTGTTTCAAGTTAAATTGCAAATGATAATCTTGCGATGACATGATATTCATGAGAAAATTGTTTTGACCAATTTAGCTGCTTGGAAATGGATCAGTTCGAGATGCCAATTAATCAGAATAATCACATGTTCGATTAAGGTTAAGACGTTTACGGCTGATTAAAAGTCATTTCATTTTTTGATTCATCAAAGATTAGCCTTTACTTGACAAAATGTTGCTCATTGGTCAAAGTGTTTCTCCAATAAATCGATCATGAAGTTACATGGACAACAATTTCCATGTAATTTGTATATCTCAATATGGAAATGGAAAGATAATAAAAAAGTTGATCTTCTAATTCATCTTGGATTGTTCAGAATCCATCGAGTTCGTGATTTCCAGAGTTTACATTCCTATTTAGATGTGTCAGTTCGTTATTAGGTCAAGTTTTCTGAACCTTTTATGTTTGTTCCAAAAATATTACTTTATGACAATTTTTACAGATATTTAAAAATCTCTAAGCTTGAGCTTCATTATAAACTGAAATTTTTGTCAAAAGTTGAATAGCTGTAAATGAAGGTAGAAAGCCTCTTTGCTTAAAGTTGTTCATTTTGTTATGAGTTTTTTCACGCCAAAGTTTAATAGTTTTACTTCAATATTCATGAACTTGTATTGCTTGAGATGTGAAAGTTTAAACGACTATTATTGATCGATGCTAACCTCGATGAAATTACAAGACACTTCACTATTGTCATTCAGAATGATACTTCCTTGGATGAGCAGAAATTCATTTCATTCAAATTTCCATTTTATTTCACTTGTAAAACATGAGCTGCAACCACAACAAAAAGACTAGAAAAGTTCAAGTATAACTATTGTTGCATGGTGATCATTTTGATTCACAACTTCAAGCTTCAAGAGAAACAAGTTGAGAATCTTTCACCATTCAAACTCTCAAGAAAACTAAAGCATCTTTTTCATGATACAAAAGTTCTCATTGCACATTGAACGAATGAACTTGAATTCAAATACGCGATCATTTAAAAACTAATATCTTCTGAATAATATTTTTCCAAGCCAAGGTTTCAACAGAATTTGAATTTTCTTCAGGTCAAGCCTTACCAATACTACATTGAATCATCAGAATGTCAGAATTTAATCAGACAAAATTGATAAATAACTGAAAATAGCAATAAATCTAAATGCAAGTTATCGAGGGTCACATGAGTCGTGACATGAGTTTAGGTGAAGCAAAGGGAAAAATCAATTGATGGAAACTTGTAATGATAACAAGTTGACGATGATTAAATAACTTTTCAAGGGAAAAGTAAACATTCATGTTCCTTTTCTGCTCTCAATCATGATAAATGTTATTCCGAACTTTTGGTGATCCAAAAAATGCAATATTTTTTCACCAACCATTGGATAAAAAGTAATGAAGATCATTTGAAGGGCTCCAATTGTCACCGTGAATGATGAAAATATATTCAACGTTAAATAACAACATTCACCAGAATCCATGGAAACTCATTATTTATCAGAATGAAACATGAAAGCGTACAAAGGAAAAGGAGAGAGAAAAAAGTCGATACAGTTCGATAAGGGAACAAATGCATGAGGGAACAAAAATTTGAAAATTTCCCCTGAAATCGATCGAACAATGAAAATGGAAAAGAAAAAGTTTCAAATGAAATTGAAAAAAGGTAAACACTGAAAGGGGCGAAAAGGATTAACGTTTTTTCTGTTCAATATTGAACGACAAAATATTCAACTGGGAATTTTGATTTTCCCATTCAATGGTTAGATATTTGTTCTGGTTATTATTTCAATTGTTATTAGCATAATTTGTAGGCCAGTCAAATGAGGTTCAATCAAAGCTGTAAATGTATTCACAGCAAGCTTTTATTGCTGGAAAATGAAAATAAACATAACTTCATTTCCATGGAAATGATGAGTAAAAAGGTGTAGAAAGAGAAAGGAGAAGCATGATGATGAACAGGGAATGAAATGAGATTAAAGGCAAACATCCAGTGAACTTCAATCGATTGTCAATTTACTGGCCTCAGATTTTAATACAATCCAGTCTTCGATTTTTATTCAATTTTGCCTCCATTCACTCAGTTCTACAATTGTTGAAATTGAAAATGATGAAGGATAATTGATGAGGAATGCAATTACATGAAGAGAGTAAATTAAAGTGCAACATTTAATCACAATATTGGTCGATTAATTATTCAAAGGAAACAACAATAAAATGCTTCAAGAAAATGACTTTTTTTCACTTCAATTATTTTAATTGGCAAATGATAATCAATAAAAGTTGATCAATATTCATTGGCAAAGTAGAGTCTAAAGAAAACTCAATCCCAGCTGAATTTGAAAAATATTGAAATAAAGTTTTCTTTTTCTTCTTCTTTTAATATTGATTTTTTGTTTTCATTTCCATTTTTTTCTCATTCTAATTCAAACTGATTTATAATTAACTTTAGTCAACTTATCATAAGTTGACTTGAACTTTGCTTTATAAGAAGCCTATGAAGCCTCTTTTTGTTATGTAAATCTTTTCCTGTCAACTCAGCTTTTAGCTTATTTAACCTGACTTAGGAGCTTTAGTGTTCAACACTGAGTTAACATCTTTGTGAGCCTTTAATTGTGTTTAACGAGAAAAGCTGCATTTAATGAAAGTTGAATTTTTACTGTAAAATGTTGAACAGTCAACCAATAATTGGACTTTTATTCAACCCAAAATTGAATCTCAATTAAGCTTCTGAGCCGAGCTTACGAAAGAATCATTGCTTGATTCAATTTATGTTAAAAGATTCAATTTAATTTTGAAATCTCAGGTGAGAGAGAATCGAGAAGTTAAAGAATCACCGAGCAAAGGTTTCAATTTTAACATGAATTTACTCTTTTCTTTTACTTTCATCTGCCTTTTTCTGTTCAATACAAGTTGTGTAAATCAATGATAATAATCTTGTTCTTACATGGAAAATGTAAATTATCTGAGAATAGAAAAAAAACACTCATCAGAATATCAATTGTCGTATAAACAAGGGAAAGGTTCAAGTTGAAGTTAATAGATTCAGTTTGAAATTTTTGATGAGTTGAGAAGAGGAAAGCGTAAAATGAAGAGAAAAGAAAAGTTTTGATACAAAAGGGTAAATAAAATGAAAAGAGTTGAACAATGAATTTGAAATGAATGAATAAATGAGTAAAGGAAATATCAAAATGTAAAAAATGTAAATATAAGGAGGAATAAAAGTTGTATAAATTGTCGCAATTTGTTTGCTTTTTACTTTTGATGAATTTACAGGCAATTGAATGGAAGGAGAATGAAGCAAAAAGTGTTCAAAAAATGAATCAAAGTGTTTCAAATGGCATTCATGTTAACTTATTGCTCATTGTAATCATATTTTTCAATTTTTTTTCCCTGCAAACTCATTTAACTTGCTCTCTAATCTTGTTAGCAACAAGTTCATCTAAGATCATGAGATGATGGAAAGAGGATGATGATGATGATGCTGGTAATGAGCGTGATGAAACTAGTTGTTGAAGCCAAGAAATTTTACTGAAAAGAGCAACAAGTCGAGTGGAAAGGTATTTGTGTCCAGAAAAGTGTTTCATTTTTGCATATTTACCTCATCATCATATCCCAAGACGGGGTCAGCCATGACCTTGTTGGAACGAGGAAAGCGCTTGGAGTTGGGTTGATGTTCACTGTCAGGTTTGACTATGTTTGACTCTTGCAGGTGAACTACGATGTGATTATCCTTGGGTTGGTGTTGCTTGATGAGGCGAGTGGAACCCAAATTTTGATGTTAATGTGTGATGATAATGTTGGTGAAACTGGTGGTAATGGTAATGATACATTCATGGAAATTTGTTGAATTTTTCTGATTATTGTTGGGATTGTAATTGCGTATAATGAAAGTGGTCCATAGAGTTGTTGTTGAAAAAGGTTACCTTGTCACGTTGATCAATTTGGACACAATATTTGTTTTGTTTTGTTGATTCATCAGTTGTCCATTGATTGACTATTTGTTCATCATTGTTGATTCATTGAATGGAGTTTTGTTTTCTTCGTATTTCATCTCATTTCTTTTCTTCACTTCGTTCTTTGATTTTTACTTTTTTACTTCACTTTATCCTGTTTTTGGTCTCGATTTGGTTGTTTACTGGAAAACATTGGTTGACATTTGTTTGGTTGCCCTTTCAATGCACTTTGTTTATATATATTCAAATGGAAACCTTTCAAGGGTCGCTTTGAACACTCGTTGCTTCCTCGTTTCACATGAAATCTCAATCTATCTGTTTCTTTCTTTCTCTCTTTTCCTCCAAATTAACTCAATATTTACTCCCTCAACTGCCTCTCTATCAGTAGTGTTTTTGTTCCTGCTCATGATCATGTTAGCTGAACTCATCATGTTCAATTTATCCTTGTATTTATAAATACTCGAGGAAAGATGAAACGCCATCTTATAGTTTAAATAACAGTTATTTGATACGCGATTAATAGCAAAACATTATTAGCTGCTACAAGCGGCTTTCCCAGTGAATATTGGGCAAAGAGCGAGAGTTTAATCCGCTTTTGCATTGCATTCAAACTTTATCTGGGCTATGAAAAACTCTGCGTCTTTTGATGTAAGATTGAAATCGGTAGAAAGACGAAAGAATAGATCACATTACTTTTCCTGGCAAAAGCTTTTCATTTTGAGATTAACTATGTTGATCAAGAATGCAAAACTTACAGATATTGATGCAGTAGTTCCATTGAAACAGCCTCGAAAAAACGGTCTCAACCTGTCTCTATTGCATTGGACCAAAATAAATCAAACATTAAAAACTCGAAAGCATCATATCAAAAGACCATTCACGGTCAAATAAACAATAAGTATTCTTAAGTTGCTTATTTTTATCACTTTATTTGGGCTGGTACAAATACAATATGACAGCAGCATCATTTTTTGGCGTTCATTCTTTGGTATATGATAGAACTGATGCAAGGTATGCGATCTGTTCTTTTGTACTAAACAAAAGAACATGGAACAAGATTTTCATTTTGACCTTAACTATGTTGACTAAGGCTGCAAAACTTGAAAAAATTGAATATGCTGCTGTATTGAATTGAATATTTCAATGTCCAATTTTTTCACTAATGTGTCTTCATGTCAAATCCCAAAATTCACCTGAATATGAAAAAAGATGTCGTTTGATGGTGATATCATTGGTCACTGTCAATGAATTACTACTATTATTATTATTGACATTTCATTTTATGAAATGGGAATGCACGATTTGCAACAACTGAATACATCAAAGAAAGTCACTGGTTATGGTGAGTCAATTTTAGGTCAGCAAGTGGGCAACTGGAAAGCATTAAATGCTCCAACATTAACCGGATTGCAATTTTGTTTTCCAACGCATTTGAATCATAATCAGTTCGATTGAAAATAATTTAGATGAATTGAAAAGCTGCGGCACGAAGTAAAGGATGAACTCATGTCAAACTGCATTTGCTCGAGGAGGAAAAGACGAAAGTTTGTTCATCTGATTTTCTAATTTGATTAGTTGATTATTCCATCTATTACAGGTAAATCTTTGATTGATCATGTAATCAATTTTCCTTCATGGAATCATCTTGATTGCGCTACTGCTGCAACTGTTATAAATGCTTTGTTGATGATATATTGAATACATATTTATTTATTATGTTTATAACTTTAAAAGTATATTATTTATATTGTTTTTAATACAAAACATTATTATTCATTGTTATAAATTATTGGTGTTGAATAGAGCGGCAACTAAATAGATGCAATGAAAAATGTTATTCAACTCATTTATGCATAAACAAATAAGCATAAAACTGTTAGACACAGCAAAAGTGAAGTAAACAAAATTAAATTATAATATGAGTTAGTACAAATATTTAGCATTTCATAGGCAAACAATTTCGTGCAAGTTTACCGTTCAAATGAAAAGTAGTTAGGGGGACGGGGAAAGAGCAAAAAAAAGTTATCCAGTTTTGCTTATAAATTGTTTCATTGAAAGTTGAAACTCAGTTAAAGTATCAAAAGTGTTGCTATTATATTATTTTTAACACTAAATGGCACAATTTCTAGTTCTCATCGTCTTCTATATTTTCATTGTTAGTGCATCTTATGGACTAATTATTGATGAGGATTCTGGATCAGTTGCATCAACTAACCCTACTCTTGCTGAAGAACAAGCATTTATTAAGCTTTTCGGAAGTAAAGATCCAGATGAAGCAGCGACTTGTGGACAACTGATTGAGTCTCGAGGGTTTGAATACGAGGTTCATTATGTGACAACAGAAGATGGTTATATCCTCCAAAATTTCCGTATCATCAATCGTTATGCAAAAGAATCTGGAAAAAAACTTAAACCAATCTTGTTATTACATGCGTTTGCGACATCATGCTCAGCCTGGCTAGTCAATTCACCCGGTGGACACATAAAGCCATGGATAAATGGTCATCCACCGAATGACACTTCAGCTGAACTTGGATTCTTATTAGCCAACTTGGGCTATGATGTTTGGTTGATTAATGTTCGGGGAACATCTTATTCAACTAATCACACTCACCTTGACCCTGAAGGTAACAATCTTTGGCTATAAAGTTAGTTCAATATAACTCTTTAAACCTTTCTTCTCAGATCCTCAATTTTGGGATTACAGTTTCTATGAAATCGGAATTTACGATGTTACAGCAACAGTTGAATACATCAAAAAGGAAACTGGATTTGGTGAGTTTTTCTCGCAACTAAATTATAAACAATTTTCAGTAACAATTTTAAACATTTAAACCTCTTGCAAATTATTAGGTAGTTTTATGCGAAAGTCAGCATTTTCCTTAAATTTTTCCTGAGCAAGCATTTGAACGGTATAAATATAAAATCTAAACCGATTATTGCAAATATCTGCCCATCTCAATGTACATTATGAGTTTTAACATCAATTATTTATCAATTTACAGAGACAATTATCGTTGTTGGATTTTCCCAAGGAACAATCCAGTTGCTTATTCAAATGTCAGCAATACCAGGATATGACAAGAACTACGATCTTGTTATATTACTTCAACCCATTGGATTCCTTGGTGATAAAAGTGGAACGGTCGGCGCAATACCGATTCCTTTGTTTAAACAATATTTTAGTTCGCATAATGGCCCTTTTCCGCCAATGTCAGAATTAGCTTTTGCTGCTCTTGATGTGCTTTGTGAGAAGCCGATTCTAACTCCTATTTGTACCTCACTCATCGGTGGAATATTTGGTTTTGATTCGCAGCAACTAAATGCATCAAGAATCTATGTTTATGCAGGCTTACTTGATCGAACCTCAAACAAGAATTTGCTCCATTTTCTTCAATTCATTGAAACAGATCACCTTTGTTACTTTGACTATGGCGAGGAAAAGAATTACGAACTTTATGGATCTGCTGAACCTCCTGAGTTTCCGTTTTACAAGATTAATCCAAAGAAATTGGTATTCATAAGTGGATTGAATGATCAATTGGCAACTCCAATAAATGTACAAAATCTTAGGAATAGTCTTTGTGGTAAGAATCATGAAATTCAAGTCATTTATTTGGTCTAATAATAATATCTTTTCATTTCATCCACAGACAGGGTTGACACTGATCATGTCATCACAGACCCGTATTTCAATCATGGAGACATTGTCATTGCAAAAGACGCCTTTCCATATGTAAATGATGTTGTCAGCCGATTAATCGAAGAGAAAATGCTTCATGATGAACTGTAAAACATCAAATCTGGAAACTGATTTCAAGTTTGGTTGGTAATTACAAAGATAGTAAAATATATGTTTCATTCGAAGTTCCAATCTGCAAATAAAGACAAACTTTTAATTATTAAGGGCAAGGAAATTTTATTTAATATGCAAATAACTTGATTCAATTTTGGCCTTTTGATTTTTAAACTTCTGTCTACAACAAAAACATCATCAGCGCTGGAGAATGAGTTTGCTGGTGTCTTTCGAATATTGTCTTCTTAATTTGCGTATCGTTAACCATCAGGGAAAATCTAGGGCTTTCCCGGTGAATATTGAGCAAAAGAGCGAGAGTTTATTCCTTCTTCATTGCATTAAAACTTGAAAACTTTGCGTCTTTTGATGTAAGATTAAAATCGGTAGAAAGACAAGAAGAAAGTGCAAAACAATAGATCACATTACTTGTCATGTTTAGGCTAACTATGTTGACGAAGAAAGCGAAACTTGCCAAAAAAAGAAATTACTTGTGTATTGAATAAGGTATTTCAATGACAAATTTTGTCACTAATATGCTCATCATGGAGAGTCCCAAAATTCACCTGAATATGAAAAAGATGTCATTTACAACTGTCGTTGAGTTATTTGATACAATCGATCATTGTTAGCTTCAAAGTATTCCATTTTTTCAAAATTTCAACTAATCTTGCGATTTACAAATCCAATTATTGTTTTATTTCGAATCGAAAAAATTTAGATATGGTACATTATTCTGCATTATGGTACATTCGATTGATTTGCATATTAAACTTGAGACAAATAAACGATTTGCAACCATTTTAGTCTGCAAAGAAATGATTTATTGGTAAAATGATTGAGAATCTAAAATGAGCATCTGTTGAGCCAAATCGTTACAATAAAACAATTAATTTTGCTACACTAAAATGCTGTTAATTTGATATTTGTGCTTAAGTTGGTTAAATCACATCAACTTTGGGTACAAACGAGACAATTATGAAGTTGCGAATGTTTTTTTTATATAATAGGTTAATTGTAACAATTGCAATTAGTCCTAATCAAAATGAATTACTGGATACATTCGGCAGTAGTTTTACTAGCAATTCAATTAGTTTTGTTAACCAATTCAACTTTAGTCAAGTTGATTGGACGTGAAACTGCGCTTGAAGCCCAACCTGAGAACCAAGTATTTGCTCGACAACAATTACTATTAGAGCCTTTTGAGCAGTCTGGTGATGTTGCCTTAACTTGTGGCCAGTTTATCGCTTCTCGCGGTTTTGATTATGAGGTTCACTTTGTTACAACTGAAGATGGTTACATCTTGAAAAACTATCGCTTGTGGAGCAAGTACGCTAAGCAAGCATTGAATGGTCGACTCAAGCCTATCCTATTGATCCATGGACTTTTTTATTCTGCTTCAATTTGGTTAATGAATTCACCCGATGGCGAAATTTTACCTTGGAATAGCACAAGTCCGCCCGACGATAGATCAAACAGTTTGGCTTTTCATTTGGCCAATAAAGGTTATGATGTTTGGTTGTTGAACAACAGAGGAACTTCTTACTCTAG